GTGTATTTTCTAGTTCTAACATTTCTACACGACCAAGCGACATCGCGCTCCAGGCCGATCACCTCTGTCTTCCCTCACACTTTCTCCTTTAAAGCAGACAACAGCATCCCCATGATCACTTCCTTCTTCTTTCACCACAGCCAAGGTGTGCAGTGACCATGGCAACGGACGCCGTGGAAACTAAGCATGACATGCTTTTAGAGGTAACCGAATCCAAAGGCCCAGGTAAATAGGAAAAATTGAGTGCTTTCAGCGACATCTTAAAGAGACAGTGCGTTCAGCGAGCACGTCAGCAGGAACAAATGACCTCAGTGTGATTCTGGTGTCACTGTCTCTTTAAGAACTGCATGGTGTGGTGATGGGTTTGACCTGATGGGAGAGATCTGAAGAAACCTTTACTGATGTTTGTGGTGTGCTGTGTCTTCTTCTTTGATCACATATACTCCACCACCTTCTCTTTAAACAGTTTCAGACATAATCTGATGAGATATGAGATATGTTAGATCTGTAGTGTCGGAGAGACTGAGGACGGTTGCAACATTTTTTTAAATTTCTCTCAGTTACTCAGAGAATATTTGGACCAGAACAACCAAACTTTTATGTGTCTGCTAATTACCCATACCACTTAAAGATGATTACATATTATATATCAGTCACAATATTTATTTGAATGGAAGAATTCAGATGTTGCAACTGACCCAAAACCCTAATTAACTTTTGCTTTTTGTCTCAATAAGCTTAGTATTCTCAGAATATGCAATGTATATAATATTTGTTCATACAATAATATTAAAGTATTATTTATTTATTCAGTAATGTTTATCCAAAGACAGTTTTGAGCTTTGTTTTCCATATAACATATGTCCAGTTTATCTGTTTTATTGCTTATGATCAACAGAACAGGCAAATATATTATAAAATAATCCTAAAATAACTTGTTTGTATTTTTTTATTTGTTAAAATATTAAAATTATTGTTGCATCTATTGTGCTATGGGACAAAATTAGCTTCATATTTTGGTGAACACTGTTCTGTGGTCTGTTTTGATTTGGCTGCTTGACTGACAAAAATACAGCTCGTGAAAAAAAAATACTTTCATTCGTTTCAGAACAAGTTGTGTTTTTCAATAAATGCAGCAGCAGATGTTGATGTGTCATCACTCTAGTATGTTTCTGATTGGAGAGTCAGACGAGTAGATGGATGCCACTCTCATATATGGCAGCTAAATGTGAGGATATGGCCAACAGGAAATACACCTTTTCACTTTCCTATACCAAAAGTTAGCTGAGAAAATCAATACTAGCAGCAGCTGGTTAGCTTAGCTTAGCTTAGCTTAGCATGAAGACTGGAAACAGGGGAAACAGTTAGTTTGGGCCTAACATTATCCACCTAGCAGCACCTCTAAAGCTCAGAGACATATGTTAGTGAGCATGATATGTCTCATTTGTTTAATCCATACAAAAAAACAAAGTTTGAAAAGGACAGTTTGTCTTTTTATGGTTCATTTATGTGCCAGACTGTTTCTTGGCTCGTCGCAGAGTCTCTGCACCACATTAAACAGTTGTCATTTTTACATTTTATTTTTCTGTATGAATCAAACAAAGGTATACCATGTTGATTTTAATTATTATCATAATTAGTGAGTGTTAATTTTGTAACCTTCTGTCAGAGCCATGCTCGCCGATAACCCCTGTCTTTGTGCTAAGCTAAGCTAATAGGCAGCTGACTGTAGCCTCATACTGAACAGACATGAGGGTGGTATCATTGTTCTCATTCAACACACACTCACCCTTAAAGCAAATATACATGAACCCCTAAATGTCAAATTACTCCTTTAATGACACAGAAAACCCATAAATTTAAACCCTGAATTTTCCGTCTAGAGGCTCTAATAGAAAAGTCGGCTGCATTTTATCTTGTATTAATAGAATTCAGAGGCAGTTCTTCTCAGCCAGCCTCCTGCTGCTTCTCTGTGCTGTCAGTTCATTTGCCCTCACCAGATGTGAACTGTTCCCTGTTCACATGGTCTGAGTGAAAACCAGCAGGGGTCTGAGTCCAGAGGACCTGGGTCCAAACAGACTGCACTGCAGACACACAGGAAGCACGAGTCCACGAGCGTTGGGTTAGTGTGGCAGCTCTGTGGAGCACCGCTGCGTCGTCTACGCTGCAGAAAAAAAATGTCCTTTCTGGTTTCACGCATGAGTATGTGAGCACGCCCAGGGCAATGCATCATGGGCTTTGTACCAGAGTGGAGGCACCGGACGGGCCCTGATGCTGGGAGAGGATGCTGCAGGGAAACAGAGCATCAGTGTCGCGCCTTCACTTCACTCTCTGCACTCACAGCCAGTATTGAACGTGTCGACAGTTTTACTAGTGCTCTGTTCGAACATCGAGTGTCTCTATTTAAACAAGACCTAGATTTTTTATTGTGATTGACAGATGATGAGTGAAGCCATTGAAAAAGATTCATGATTTTTTCAATATATTCTTATTTAATATATTGAAGGATGTGGAATTATTTATTTATTATTGTTTATTTATTATCAACTGTTGTTATTGTTATCACCAATGAGCTAATGGACGAATTTATTTCCCCTAGGGGATAAATAAAGTATCTATCTATCTATTGAAAGAGTTAAATACATGAAATACTTTTAGACGAAACAAAAAACAAACAGAAAGAAAGAAAGAAAGAAAGAAAGAAAGAGAAGAAAACAAAGCAACACTTAATATCATCAAAACCCAGTAGAGTTTAGATGATTAGTAGATTTATTCAATGATTTGTGAACTGATCAGTTTGTCAATAGATTTTTTAAGCCATTCTTCAAATGTAAATATAGAATTCCAGTTTCAGCTCCTCAAATGTAAGAAAATTATATTTTCCGCCTTTTCCTGTCTCCATGTGACACACAACACAAGCAACTCACACTGGGCACTTCATCAAACTTCAATTATATATGTATATTTTAAATGTAACATCTTGGTAAATCTGCTTATTCGTTTTCCTAGAGTTGTATATGAAGCTACAACCAGCAGCCAGTTAGCTTAGCATGGCATAAAGGGGAAGCTAGCTAGCTCTGTTAAACAGTAATAATCCTATTCAAAGGTGTAAAAACAACATGTAGGATTTAAACAAACTGTGTTAATTAGAGCTTCAGCTGTTACTGTTGGACAGACACATGCTAGTTGTTTCCACCTGTTTCCAATGTTTATGCTAAACCAAGCTAACTAGCTGCTAGCGATAGCGTCATCCTTAAGAGTGGTATCAATCTTCTTTCCTAACGCTTGTTGGTTGTGTAGTCAGGGAGATATAAGTACATGTAGCTGGAAGGGCGGGTTTGTAAACTGTTAAAATCAGTTGGGAAAAAATTCCATTAAGAAAAAACACACTTTAAACCTTTTCTCAATAAATTAGATTTTCTCCTTTCAGTGAAAAAACAAAATCATATTTTCAGTCCAAATAGAGAAAGTGGAAGAAAGAGGGAATTTCCAACCTTGTCAAATTCAATATTCTTCTCATTTCTGTGGGACTATATCACAGTTATGGTGATATAAGACTGATGCTGTAGTTTCTGTAAAAACAATTCATGGCTATTGATTGACGTGATTTACATCGTCACATTCACTCTTACTGGATAAAAGCCTTCCCTCTCTGTCTGTACTGACAGGAATAACAAATACCTCCCACACTCTATTGGCAGTATGATCATATTTCTGTAGGTATATATATATATATAGTATATAAATATAAATACTTCACAACTAAACATGTTCTTTACTCTCCCGCACTAAAAGACGCACACGTCAGGGTCATAGATCTAACTGGGGAAATGAGTTTACTGTATCATTTCCCATGATGCCTCTGGTTTAGTGAAACCCCACACCAGTTGCTACTTATAGCTGTGAAAGGGATCCTCAGCGAGCCCCGAGGACGCCTGTCTGCACAGTGGTGTAGAGTAGCTCTGCCTCTCTGTAACCTCACCCACTGAGTTTATCCAGCGGACCTCCAGGAGAATCCGCTCAGACGCACAAACAGACACACGGACGAAAACAAAACACACAGTCAGACTTCTGTAAGAGGACGGAGCTGCTCTGAAGAAACACTCTTTAGTGTATTTTAATAAATAAAGCAAAGGGAGAGAGAGATATCTGTTTTTACATCTTCAAATGACATCATGTCAGCAGATCTCGTCTTTGGGATCCTGAGGAGAGAGCAGAGTGACGTTTTCCTTTTTCACACATGGGAAAGTTCAGCCTGCGGTTAAGAGTTTACAGCTTTCAGGCACGAAGGATGATGAGGAAATAAAGATAACAACCAAAAGTCCAAAGTTAATTTCTCAACTTTGCTTCTTGACTTCCTCATGAACCAGCACTAGTAGAGTTTATTACATCTTTTCTGTTTTATTGCGTCAGTCACATTTCTTATCTCCGGCCTTTATTATGCTAATTGATGGTTACAGGGGTTGCCTCGGTGACTGATGGATAAGAAAATCTTCCAGTGATTAATAGTGAAAAATGTGTCATTAAGTAGCAATTATTGTCGTTATCTAAAATGTTGCAGGTCAAATATGATACGAGTCGCACATTTGACATTAACCCTCGGACAGTCAGGGTGCCTCTCTCTCTCTCTTCACTACTTTCCTTTCTCTCAGGACGAATCATGGAGTTAATGTTCCTCTGTCTTCGGTCAAAGATATTGGTCACTGTTTTGCTAGAGCTGCTATTGGCTGTGGGTCTGTTATCATGCGTGTTGTTTATCTTCTCCGCTTCCTGTAAATACAAGTAAGTATGAACCCAAGGAGCCAAGGTTTTCTCCTCATTCCATCTGCTGTCTTCATTTATTTTCCTCTGATTCAACTGCATTTCGTCATCTACACACATACAGAAACATGCCCCATAGGCAACAGTCCTGCCCGTTATCTAACACGAGGGTGCAATATAAAGATTGATGATGTGATTGTGTGTAGCTGTGGTTATCATCTCTTCTCTTCCTCCGACAGAGAGAAGGCGGCAGGGCAAATTCCAGCCCTTCAGACGACTGTTTGGGAAGAAGAAGAAGCGGGAGGCGAAGGGGGGCTTCGATGGAGCAGAGCTAAAGGCCAGTTTTTCTACTGGGGAAGTGTGTAACGGAGTTGTCTCTGATGACGAGGAGTCCAATCAGAATCTGAGGTCAGTACATGGATCCTTCCAGTTTTATTTTGTCTGTGAGCTTTCACTCTTCGTTTATGTCTCACCGCCTTTACCCAGAGAGTGAGTGACGACAACAGCTTCTTATCAGAGACTTTCACTTTCAGACACATGAAAGCGTTAAAACAGATTCTCATAAACGCTGCACGTTGTGGTTTCACAATCTGTAGATCAAAGCTTGACACTCAAATACGGCGTGTGAAGAGGTCTCTCATTTTAACTGTGCAAAGTGATTCACGTAGAGCTCGTGATGAATGAATGAAAGGCTGACGGTGAAGACGCTCTGTCTCGTCCTGCAGGGAGTTGAATCCCATCGGATCTCGAGCTCTCTCACACGACAGCATCTTCATCCCAGAGGAGCCGGCGACAGAGTCCGGTCTGGATCACAGCATGTCCCAGGAAAACGTGTCGGATAAAGTTCGGAATCTGCAGGTGAGAGCACGTAGAGATGTCCGCTCTGTCACAATCACTCATCTCCTGTGTGTGTGTGTGTGTGTGTGTGTGATTTTTCCCTCTTTGCTGATCTCACAGAGGCAGATAGCACAAGGTATAAAGTTTGGCCAGAGGCCGTCTTCAATGAGGAGGAGCGAGGGAGATGAGGGGAGCTCGGATGAGGAGGAGGTTCCCCGCAGCCCTCTGAAGGTGATGGCCCAGGTAGAAGCTGAGCCACCGAAAACAGAGCCAAAGGTAAGAACTCTTCAACTTGTTCAGATCCATTTTTAAAGGAGTACGACTGTGTGTGTGAAGCCTTTTGTGGCTCCAGAGGAAGCTGCAGGAGCCAGATAGTGAAGTGTGAACTTCTGGCCCAACATATGTCTGGATCCTCGACCCGAGTCCGGCCGCTATCCTCCGCCAGAGGATTTTTCTGTGTGTGCTCCAGATGTGGAAGGAGCATCTGGTGATCGTGCTGTATATGGGCCAGATTCGGGCCGTGGAACCGGGTGTTAACTGGGCCAGAACAAAACAAGCATGTGGCCCGAGTAAGGGCCGGATTTATTCAGCTGATAGCTAAGTGACATCACTGAGCTCACCAGACCTCTGTACCCGCTCCTCGTCAGCACAACCGTCTGCGCTCTGTTGCATTGTGGATAACGTAGGCGCCATATTCGGAGGTTAATGTGCAAAATAAAAAAGACGATATCTCTGATTCTGCTTCATCGATTCCGATTTACGTCCAACAATGTTTAAGATATTAAGACGATCAGGTGTGTTCCAGTTTTAAATGAATCTGTTGTTTTGATGACAGCAGGTCCCGGGGGCCCACGCACACACCACGCCGGTGAAATCCCCCAGATCCAAACGAGTTCTTCCACCCACTGGTACGATTGAGTCCATCAACCTGGATGCCGTCCCGCAGTCTGTTCCTCGCTTGGACAACACCGCCGCCAAGCACAAACTGTCCGTCAAACCAAAAAACCAGAGGGTTTCCCGCAAGCACCGGCGCTTCACGCAGGTGAGCCGGAGCCATCGTCGAGATACGAGTTGTAACGAGCATGTTGTTGATTAATTTTGTGACCTTTCCCCCCGTTTCCATGGTGAAGAGACTAATCGTACTTCCACCTTCCTCCACAGGACCTCCAGGAGGTGTCCATCCCTGGTGTGGTGCAGGAGGACATGGAGGCAGCCGGCGTCTCCGGTGACGACCAGCGCAGAGCTTCTGTTGAAGAGTCTCTGGAAAGCTTCAAGAAACAGAGACTCCATGAGGAGGAGAGACAGGAGACGAGGAGGAGGAGAGAGCTGGAGGAGCAGAGGCTCAGACAGGACGAAGAGGAGAGGAGGAAGAGGGCCGAGGAGATGAGGCTGCGTGAGCTGGAGGAGGAAAAGGAGAGGTGTCGTAAACAGCAGGAGGAGGAAGAGAGGAGGCTTCGAGAGGAGGCAGAGAGGAGGAGGATGGAAGAGGAGGAGAGGAGGATGAGAGAGGAGGAAGAAAGGAGGCGGCAAGAGGAGGAGGAGAGGATGCAGAGGGAGGAAGAGGAAAGGAGGATGCGAGAAGAGGAGGAGCGTCGACAGCGGGAGGAGGAGAGGAGGCGAGTGGAAGAGCAGAGGAGGAAAGAGGAGGAGGAGGAGGAGGAGAGGAGGAAGCGAAAGGAGGAGGAAGAGGCGAGAAGGCAGCAGGAGCTTGAGGCTGAGAGGAGGAGGAAGCTGAGAGAGGAAGAGGAGGAAAGAAAGAAGGAGGAAGAGGCGGAGGAGCTGAGGCTGCAGGAGATGGAGCAAAAGAAGAAAGTGGAGGCGGAGGAGAGGATGAGGAAGGAGGAGAAGCAGAGGAGGGTGTCAGGGGAGGAGGCTGACGGCAGCTCAGATCCACAGGAGAGGAAGAGGAGGGCGGAGGAGCTGCGCTGGAGGGAGATGGAGGAGCGACAGAGGCCGTTCTCCTTCAAGGTTTCCTCTGGAGAGAAGCAGATCTTGTTCCAGAAGGTCAACCTGACGCCTGTGACTCCGCCCCCCGGCCACCAGAGCGGCGCTGCAGCAGAACAAAGAGACGGAGCGAAGGCTTCGTCCTCTGACGGACCAGAATCCCCCAACCTGCCGACGTCCCCGTACGTCCCCCACACGGCCATCTTAGTGACAGGCGCTCAGCTCTGCGGGACCGCCGTCAATCTGGACCAGATCAAAGACACCGCCTGTAAGTCTCTGCTGGGGCTTGGCGAGGACAGAAAGGCTCAGGGGACTCCGCCCCCCAAGAGCAAGACTTCACCTGACCGCAAGTCTGGAAAAACCAAATCACTCAACGAGTCCGCGCTCTCCACAGACCAGTCCAGCGCCTCCATCCTGGCAGAGTGGGCGAGTATCAGGTCCAAGATATTCAAGGGCGTGGAGGAGGGGAAGTACGATGAGTACACAGACCTGAACAGGAACCAGCCTCAGCCCGGCGGCGATGACCAGCCGGCGTTCTCCCACTCCAACCTCAGGAAGACCATGTCTGCCAACGCCAAGTTCTCCATCACCCCTGCGAAGAAGAAGTTTGGAGATTCAAACAGGAACTCCGAGGTGTTCGCTGTCGACGACAAGGAAGCGGGAGAGGAAGCTCCTCCCACCGACAGCCCCACCGCAGCCTCGCCAGCTCCGACCACCAAACCTCCGAGCAGGACGAGTAAAACGGTCCGCATCATCGAGAGAGGGTCGGAGGAGTGTATGTTTGCCAAAGACCTGCCCTCCTTCCTGGTTCCCAGCCCCGGAGAGAAACCTGACGGGGCGGAGCTGAAGAGCAGGGCTCCGAGCGAGACGGAGGCGTCTGACAGCAGAGAGGAGGGGGAGGAGCGGGGCCAGGATGGCGAGGAGAAGCCGTCGCCTTTTGGCATCAAGCTGCGGAGAACCAACTACTCCCTGCGCTTTCACAGCGAACAGTCCACCGAGAAGAGGAAGAAACGCTACAGCGCTGGAGACAGCTTCGACGGCGTCCCCTCGCCTCTTACCCCCATGGAGCCGGACTCTGACGCCTCCTCTGTCTTCTCTGATAAATCAAGTCCTGCCTCGCCCCAGAAAGAAGGCGTGGTCTGCAAGTACTTACACGCATCCGCCTCCCCCGCCGTCCCTCGGGCTAAACCGGGTAAGTCCACCAGCCCGACCCCGCACAGCGAGGGTGAGAAAGTGCTTTCAAAACCGCCGCTCTACCGAAGACCGACTACATCACCCAAACCCACCGGAGCGGTCCCGACACCTCCCCCATCGCCGCTTCCTAAAGCGGTCCACGTGCCGCCCGGCGACTCTGTGGCGCCCGTCCTCTCGTCCAGCCAGGAGCAGACGAGCAGGAGCGAGGAACCTTCAGCCGTGGCACACCTGCACCGCAGCAGCCAAGGCCAGGTCCACGGGGAGGAGGAGCCCAAGGAGAAGAGGTCGTTCTTCCCCTCCATCAACATCCCCTGGAGAGAGAAGGCGGACAGGAAGACGGAGCTCATCAGGAGAGGTGAGTGACGCTACGTCCAGGAGTCCTGCTGCTAAAGGAAGCCTCAAGATGGCGGCTCAGTGAAAGTGCATCTTCAGACACTTTCCCACCAAATAATGAATTTTAAAACATGAAATCTTGGTTCCTGGAGCAAAATCCTCCGACCTGCAGCGCGTTGATCAGGGGTCTCACGTGGGGCTGGATTGTGAACGGTGTCAGGACAGTTCAGGTGTTTTGACGTGGGGTTGTGTGAGGTAGTCACATATAGTCGGTACATTACCTGCATTAGTTCGGAAAGCCGACCGTCAGCTCCGTCAGAGTGATGAGCTGCTGTGGGCGGGGCCACGAGAAAAAAACCTGTTTTAGACACTTTTAAAAGACGCCCACCGAAACAATCCAACATCTGTTTAAATGAAGCTTCATGTAGAATATTTTCAGCTCTTTATCTTCCCGTGAAAACAGCATTTTTCCTTTGGCACTACATTTTTTCTACCGCTGAACTAACGTATTCCTACACGCAAGCGCACCTGCGAATACAGTGCACTCCGTAGGTGCGCTAGTGCGTAGGAATACGGTAGTTCACTTTTTATGTGTGAAAACCCAAAATATGAATCATAGCAGAGGATTTTTACAGAGTTGAAAACATGTCTGGAGGAACTTTAAACAGTTCCTTTTTTAAAATAAAATCTTGTCAATGTTAGTCTTTTTGTTTAGGAAAACTTCTTACTGTTCATCCACTATTCAGATAATAAAGAGGGAATTTCACACAAACTCTGACTGTAACTTGGACGTAGTCTGATATTTTTTCACAGAGCTGTGGATTTAGTTTCCCTTCAAGTTAGATTAAAATTAAATAAGTCAGGGGTTTCTTGCCCAGTAAGAACAGGAGGAATAATTGCAGTTTTATTCAGTGTAAATGTGGGAATGTGAGTGTTGTATTAAAGTAGGCTTGAAAACATGTGAACCCCCCCTTTAATATCTGAGAACTTCTGCTTCTTTTCGTTGAATGGAAAATGGGTTTTGGTAGAAAAACATGCTCATATTTCTCAAAGTGAGGAACAGAAGTGAGAGACCTGAGACACACTTATCATAGGATTTTAAATGATATCTTTCCTAGTAACATACAAATACTCATGTGTTCCTCGTGCAGAAAAACCGTCCCTTCAGAGCAGGCACTCGCTGGACAGTGCGAAGGTCCAGGAGAAGGAGGCCGGACCCTTGTGGATCACACTGGCTCTGCAGAAGCAGAAGGGCTTCAGGGAGCAGCAGCAGAACCGAGAGGAGCGCCGCAGCCAGAGAGAGGCCAAGCTGGCTGAGAAACAGGCGAGAGAGAGAGACAGCGTACGTGTGCCGGACGGCCTCTTCACCCACTTTCTGATCCCACCCCTGATCGCACACAAAATCTCCTCAACGGTAGCTTCTCCCCTCTGAAAGAATCACAAATCTGTGTTGCAGGTCACACTGGTGAGTCCCACCGAGAGCAGAGGCAGCGGGAGCTCCAGTCCTTCCTCTAAACCTCAGACCCCAGAGGAGCCCAAGAGACCCGACAGCCTCCTGGGACGGCTGGAGCGCAGAGAGCACCTGAAGAAGGCCAACACTTTACCCAGCTCCGTCACCGGTAAGACCCACACCCGCTGCGTGATAATCGCTTCATCACTTAAGACGTTCACCAAGTAAAAATGTTAAACAGCCTCTGAAATGTGAGGATGAGTTTACTACTTTACTTAAAGTGGTACTACAACAATGTAAGAATACTTATTCTTTCAAAATACACTTAGTAACAGTCAAATATACTTAAAGAATTATAAACGTTAAATAAAGTTAATGCAGAACTGCTCCCCTAAGTTTAATACACCATTTTACACAGTATATCATGTATCAGTGTCCCCCCATAATCTTTATGTTAATGAGGAACTATAGATGTCAAATAAATCCAGCAGAATAAAATGTACAATATTTCTTAAATGTAATGAAGTAAAAATACAAAGTTGTAAAAATTCACGTCAGGAGAAAACTTGGCTCATGTACTTTGTGAGGCAGGTTGCGCAGGAACAGGATGAGTGGATCCAAAGTGGCAATCAAAACAATTTAATGCAAATTTAATGCAACGTTTTCAGTATTAGACGATGAAGGTCGAGGACTAAATTGTTAGTTGCGAGTCCGACAGTGTGTGGGATTCTTTTTGTAACTGCTCATCTCAAAAGAAGAAGAAACTGAATAAATTCCATATTAAAGCTGCAGCAGTTTGTTGATTAATTGATTAGTCGATTGACAAAAAACGATTAATTATCATTTTTCAACATTTGATGGTACCAGCTTTTAAAATGTGATATTTCTTCATTATAGTAAATAAAGTATTGGACAAAACAAGTCATGTGATGATGTCGCCTCGGGCTCATTGAAGATTACATAAACTAGAATCACCTCCTCGTGGTTGTATCCCTCCAGGTTACATCCCTGTTTATCCAGAGTCATACAGAATATGAACCATTAGTGTGAAATTTTGTCATAATTGATGTGTGAAGTTTTGAGTTATGGCTAAAAAGTGTTTTCTGAGGTCACCATGACCATGACCTTTGACCTTTGACCACCAAAGTCTAATCAGTTCGTCCTTGAGTCCAGGTGAACGTCTGTAGGAAATATGAAGAAGTTCCATCGAGGCCAAAACTGTGTTTTGTGAGGTCACCAGGCCCGTGACCTTTGACCCCCAAAATCTAATCAGTTCAACCTTGAGTCCTAGTGAATGTTTGTGCCACATTTAAGAAGTTCCGTCAAGGTGTTTTTGAGATATTGTGTCCACGAGAATAGGACGGACGGACAACCTGAAAACTCTCTGTTGCTGCACGGAGGAATGAAAATCAATCGAAACAATAATCAACAGATTAATCAATAATGAAAATGATCATTATGATCGGTCAGAATACAGTCTATCAATCTGTCTAAAGAGGTCGTTTGGTTTAACAAAGAGATCTTTAACTTCTTGTGTCTGTGGTTTGCATTTCAGTTGAGATCGCGGACTCGACGCCGTCGCCACCTGCTGTCAAAGACGTGTCAAAGCGCTTCCCCTCCACTGACTCTCCGGCAGGGTTTGGGTTTTTTTCCACAGAGCCGGCCTGGCTGGCGCTGGCCAAGAGAAGCCAAAGCCTGGAGCGACTGTCCTCAGATCATCAAATAACCCCCCCCACCCCCCACCCCCCAGCTCCCCTTCCCCCCAACCCCCCCCCCCCTGTCCCAGCTCCACTCTGGGCTCTGGCACACCCCCTCCCAAAACCCCCATCTCTCACCACGAAAACCCTGCTGACTGTGAAACAAGTAGAGCCCTCCATCACCTGACCACACACACACACACACACACACACACACACACACACACACACTGGCTGGTACTATTATCATCATTATAAAGTGCGCTTCACATTCAAATATTCCAATACAACTGCACAGATATATGTAAACAACTGTTGCGAGCATGCACACACTGTATACACACACAGTATATGTCCTGAGAAGACGGTCCTCAGCAGCCAATCACAACCATGGCTGACCATTGCAATAGCCAACCCCATTTTATTATTATTTTATTTCCAGTTTGTAGGCGACGGTGTCACCATGGTTGTAAATAAACCACCTGCTCAACACAGCAGAAGTGTTGTGTGTTAGAGAGGTGGAGCTCTGACATGTGACAGTGTGGAATCAGCTGAGGGGAACTGTCTGAACCGTGTTTTAAGGGCTACCAGTACTAACAATAACTCAGCTGAGGGAGGCGTCACAGGTGATGTTTATGTGAAGCAGCGGGTCGATCTGTGTCTCTTCTCTGAGCCTCGTTTGTCATGTACAGAAGAAGAAGAAGAAGAAGAGGAAGAGGAAGAGGAAGAGGAAGAAGAAGAAGAATTTTCTCTTTTTTTTTTTTTTTACTCATACTTGGAAACTTTAGCGTAACAAACTCTCACTGTGTCCGTGATTACTGTGACGGCTGTCCACCGAGCTATTGTACAATTCTGCCATTATGAAGTAACAGAATCTGAAATAACCACGCGGTGTTTGCACCTGAACACAGCACTGAAGTGTTACCGGGCATTTCGACAGTGAGCTGAGCTGCACACACACACACACACACACACACCGACCCTCACAGCTGTGTGACGGTGTGCTCTGCACGTGACGGACACGACACCTGCTTGCTGTACCTGTCCTCCTGTAACACACCTGTGTTCGTGGGCTTGACGCCTCCACTTCCTCGTTAATGTGATACGATCTGACATGATGTAAAAGAAACATTTCCTCTATAACACAAAAAAGAAAAAAAAAATCCTACTGCATTCTCATTTCTTGCCACTCACTTAAGGATCTGTATGTATGTAAGTATGTACTGTATGTGAGTGGAAGGCGTTAGCAGAGCTGCGGTCAGAGAGAGTCACTCTGTCATTTCGTTTCTAACTTTGGTCGTGCACAATAGTGTAGTGTACGCAGTGTTATATGTAACAAAAAAAATGTTTGGTATTATTTGCACTTTTTTGTCCCACTTAGAGATATTCATGAGAAGATTCTTAAGGAGATACAAAATGTTATGAATAATGTAAATTAAATACTGATGTCTGAACCGCAGGACTGTAGACTCATTATTTCTGCTCTACATCTAAAACCCTGAACTTTAATTAAAATCCTGTTTCCGCTCTGACACAGATACAGACGCTTCAGTGTTTGTTATAAAAAATTTAAAAAAAATACATTTAATCCTTCTCTGCTTCCTCTTGGACACTCAGCTTCAAACAATACACAGAGTCATTGCGGCACCCGATGACAAGAGACTGTTCATACACCACCGGGGATGAGAACAGCTCCCCGGGCAGAGTGTGCGAGGCCAGCGTTTGTCCGTTGAGACCGTCCAGGATCCAGACGGTGCCGTCTGTGGAGGCCAGCGCCACCAGAACCCCCGTCCTGCCCACAGCGGAGCCATCGAACACACACGGGCTGGAGTACACTTTGCCCGACGTCCGGAAAGTCCAAACCAAAGAGCCGTCGGCGCAGTTCAGACAGTACAGGTGACCGTCGTGAGATCCACACAGAAGCCTCCGCTGGTCAGGTGTGACGCACGGAGACGAGAAGACGGGGCCCTTTGTTGGAAACTGCCACACCTGCGGAGAAACACAGGAGTCACGTTGGAGTATGACCTCACGTACAAGTTGAAATTCTTCAGATTTCAGTCCATGGGTTGGTTTGGTAACACTCGTGGTAACCGTGGTGACGGCAAACACACCGTTAACCAGCTGCAGCAGACGCAACACAAGAGCAGCAGGAAGTGTTGGGTTAGCATCAGCAGCAACCGGACACAGAACAGTGACACAGACACACACAGTCATGTGTGTGTGTGTGTGTGTGTGTGTGAAGCCAGTAACGGTGACAACAATAAAAAGTATCAACACACAGAATGCTGTCCTCTGTTCTCTGACTGTTTATGACATGTTGAAATAAAACAGTCAAACAGAAACTGTAACTGTCATCAGATCAGAGCAGATGCTGTTCATTCCCTCAGGATCATATAAACAGAAGTCAGTATTTGAAAGAGTGACTTTTAAAAACGAATTCATTGAATATTCTGTATTACTGTAAGTTATTTCATTAATAAAGTAAAAACACAGAGGGGTCCTGTCACTTGGAGCGCAGTGGAGGAACACTCCGGTCTACGTTCTTCCTCTCACCAGTTTCCCCGTGTTGCTGAAGCAGCAGATGTTTCCATCCACTGAGCCAATGGCGACGCCACCGGAGGAGGCGTTTGGTGACGAGAAGAACGGGACGTCTCTGCGGACAGACCACAGCACCTCTCCACTGTCCTGGGGAAGAGAAGAACATCAGCTACATGCTTCATTCACTGAAGGTCAATGACTGAAGTCTGTGATTGTCTTCACTCACTGGGTGGAGGCAGAGCAGGTGACCCCCCAGCGACGCCACATACAGCTGCCTGAGGGTTGGCTGGAGCCAGGGGGAGGAAAACACGGCCCCTCCCCCACAGTGACGTTTCCAGACACACCGCTGAAGCTAAAACGTGAGTGATATAATTTTGTTAAAGTTTGGTCACAAGAACAGAAGATACACAAGTCAGAGATGTCACAGCAGGCGACCCGAAAAACACACAAACTAACACACACTCCAAGTGTTTTTAGGTTCTATGACTTCTATTTCTAGACATTCTGTCTTATTCTGTTTTCATTTCTATGATGCAGAAGGTACCTGGTACCTGGGGGGCGGAGGTAAAATGTGTCACAACATTATGGTGCATTGTGAGCTCCATAAGAGTTGTACAGAGACACCCTGACCTGCAGATCATATTCTCCAGATGTAAAGGAACATGTTATTTTGGTATAATTCCAACAAAAATCCCATTATCATTATTTTTTTTATTTTTTTTCAATGAAAATTAAGTGAAAAACGATAATTCCAACTGAAATCTGGACTCATATAACAATGTAGGCTAATTTCTTTCTTTAATTTTTTTTATTGTATCTATGTTGTGAATTGTATTTTATTCGATTTCATCTGTTTTCGTTTGTTTAAAGCTTCTCAAATCAATTTCATTGTATCTCATTGTCATCTTTCTCATACTTTTTTGTTCAGCTCATCAGTCTTCATCAGTAAGTATAGTAAGGCATAAAACGTCATAAAAACGTCTAAGTAAAGCAATGCAAAAAAAGTCATGAAAAAGTCATAGTATGATGATGTCATACTATAGTAAGGCATTAAAAGTCGTAAAAGGTCTTAGTATACAAAGGCAAAAAAAGGCATAGTACAGTGAAACATAAGAAGTCAAAGTATAGTAAGGCATAACACATCATAAAAACGTATAAGAAGTCATAGTATAGTAAGGCATTAAAAATCATCAAAAACTCATAGTATAATAAGGCATAAAAAGTCATGAAAACGACTTAATATAAGAAGGAATGAATACCTCATAAAAATGTCATAGTATAGTAAGGCATGAAAAGGTCATAATATTCATGGTGACATTTTCATGGGATTTTTTGACAGAAATTAAACTCATACTTTTATATATCCACCATTTTATGCTTACTCCTGCTAGGAACCCTAACTGCTAGCCTGCAGAAGACAGAAGCTATGGTTAGATTGCTAGTTAACGCTACCTAACATTGTTAAATGACAATCAGTTGACATTTTTCTGGTGATGTCAGGTACCACTGTGATATTTTCACATGACATGAACCTTAAGATAGCCCCCCACTCTTTCAGCCAAATGCTAGCATGCCTAAATCGATGATCTTGGAGACGCAGCCAATTAGGGACAATTCTATCCTCCCAAAATATAGGTATGGACATGTCCCTACTGTCCTTACCCAAACCTATGCCCCTGGTCTGAAGCTCTTCGAGCCGCACTAACCTGTTTGAAAAGGTCTATTTCAATAAAGTTTGACTGATTCAGAGCCTCAGTGTCTCTTCATGTCAAACACGCTCACCTTTGGGTTCAGGGCATAAACATGTCCATCATGTGATCCCACCATCACCAGACCTGTGTGGGGATCCACAGCGGGACAGCTCTTCACAGCGTCTCCCGTCTCAAATGTCCACCGCGTCTTTCCAGAAGCAGCGCACAAAAAATACACAGAGCCGTCGTAGCAACCTGGAGAAACAGAAAAATACACCTTAACTGACGGTTAAGGTTGAACACAAGATATTGAGAGAATTGCTACTGACCTATAACCACCAGAGTCCCGCAGCGAGACACGGCAGCCGACGCCTCGATTCTGTCCCCGAGGACTCGCTCCCACACGAGGCTCCCGGTGTCCAGGTCTAAAGCCTGGATCCTGTGAGAGTGTGAACCGATGAACACGGTTATTTGGGTAGAATCTGACCTCTGATCTGTTCTTTCATGGACCAGAAGCACCGGCGAGGCGTCCACACATCTGCCTGTATCTGAGGACCAGCTCAGACTGAGGCCCAGAGCAGCAGCTCCCCGTTTCTCAGTCTGGAGGTTTTTACTCGTCTCCTCATTCCTGACGTTGATTTCCATCACATCACCTGCTCGTCTTATAACTTTCACAGCCCGTCTCTCCTCCTGCGGCCTCTCTGCCACTCTAGACTCAGACTCTGTGCGTTGTCTCTTCACTAGAACAACAGGGGGAGCGTCAGTTTGCCGCTTCTTGGCCTCAGGAAGTGATGATGTGCTGTTCTCGAGTGGCAGCATCACTGTCGCTCTGGCAACGCAGCGCAGGATGTCAGAAAAGGTCCCGTCAAGTATAACCTCCAACAGTTGTGGTGCGGGGACTCCCACAGCAGAGAGGATGTCCTCACACAGGTGCAGCGCCTTCAGAGAGTCGCCTCCACTCAACAGGAAGTTGGATTCCTCGTCAATGGTCACAGCTTCAGCAAAACCTAAAGCCTCCTGTTGACAGACGGGTCACAGTGTTGAGTCTGAACACAAGAAGACAACAGGGGATTTAAATGTGGAGCTGTGTCATCACCTGCCACAAAGACTGAAGGGTTTGCTTTAGTTGGCTGACGTCTCCCTGCGAGGACTCCACTCTGTGTCTCTGCCTGTGGTATATTCTCATAAGAGCCTCCATGTCCACTTTACCTGCCGAGATACAAACATTAAAAGCTGAATGAATGAGCCGCTGTGTCTCCGCCGCAGTGACCAGCGTCCCGTGCTCACCATGACGAGTCAGGCTTAACGCCGGGACGAGGACCAGCGTGTCAGGAACGCTGTATGACGGCAGCAGCAGAGACAGCCGGTCCACTATCAGTCTGCGCAGCTCTCCGTCTGCACCGCCCGTCTCCTCCTCCCGGTGGGGGTGGTGCTTTACCAGAGAAGGGAGGTGGTCTTGATACTGACCAAGACCCGAGGGTGATTTCTCCTCACACTGCTGTACAGATGTGAGAGGAGACGCTGCGGTCTGGTCTCCAGATGTAGACGCCACAACAAAGGCGAGCAGCCGAGAGCCGTCGGACAGACCCACAGCACAGGCCTCCACCTGAGGCAGACTCACGATGAGCTGACGGAGGAAAACAAAAATACTTCTGTCATCCAACCAGTCAGGATTATTCTTTTGCTGATGCACAGAAGCAAGATTTATTTATATATTTGGTTATTTATAACCCAACTGGTCTCCTGATAAAATGTAAACCAAGAGAAGTATCAAGCTCTCTCTTTATGGGAAACTAGAATCACCTCCTCGTGGTTGTTTCCCTCCTCCACTCAGACTAGTGTCAGGTTACATCCCTGTTTATCCTCAGTCATATAATTGTGAATTCTTGAGTAAATGGTAAAAAGTGATTTCTGAGATCACTGTGACCTTGACCTTTAACCTTTGACCCTCAAAATCTACTCAGCATCATCCTTGAGTACAAGTGAATGTTTGTGCCAAATTTGAAAAAGTTGCGTCTTGGAGTTACTGAGATGTCGTGTCCATGAGAATCGGACGGACGGACGGACAACCTGAAAACACTGTCGCAGTGCAGAGGAATAAAACATTGCACTTACTGAAGAAGCAGAGACTTTCAGGGCAGAAATTTTACCCCATGACTGAAGGAAGGGAGCAAGTGTTTTGTCTTTACTTTTGAATTCTTATGCATTTTACTGCTTTTTGAACTGAACCTGGTGGATGGAGGGATGAGACACGGTCCAGAGAAGAACTCGGAGCAGATCCGGATCATTTACTATGAATTTGATTTTTTTCCTCTGAAGTCTGGTGTCTGTTGTTTGACACTGACCTTCTGGTTCTTATTTTATTCTATTTCATTTATTTTGTTGTGTATCTGTTGCTGTAGAAACAGTAAAATGAAACAGACATCTATTTTAAAAAACCTGAACATTAAAAAAAACTAACTACAAGTAATGGCCATTTAAAGCTGCACCAATCAATATCTTCATAGTAACAATTGATTAAATGACTGGATGTGATGTAGAAAGGAGTCACATGTGGTGACAGAGAAACATCACGTAACTCTGTAGTTCCACTGTACGGAGCGTTTTAGCTTCTTTCAGTCACAGTTTTGGTTCGAATGATCTGCAGATTTAATGTTTTGCGTCACTCCAACAAACTGACTCTCATTAGCAAACAGACGAACTCAGTCAGTAACGAGCTGCTGAACACTGTGGAGCGTTTAGCAGCTAAAGAGCCACAGATTCTTCACAGGAGCTGCTGCAGACCGAAATGAAGGCGGTGTGAGGTCGGCAAAGGAGGCGCTGATGCTGCTCCTGCTCTGGTTTTTATAAGCTTTTACTAGTGTGTGTTGCATCGCCACCTAGTGGCTAAAGAAGTCAACTGTTACTGTTTGAACTTCAGCTTCAGATCAACGCGTCTACAAGCCTTAAAACTTTACATGAATTCTACATTAGCAAGTGTTCAGACCATCAACTCCTTTTTATTGCCTTTGATTTGTGTATTTCGACGTAGATACATTCATTATGTTGACATTCCCTTTCTAGAAGCTTGAGTTACTACATGTCAGTGACCAAAAAATACACCGTGTGAACATAGAAAACATCTTACCTGCTGCACGCCGTCCAGGTTCACCCGTTTCCCATGGCGTTTTATCAGCCTGTCTCTGCGTCCCAGGTAGTACAGCTGGGCGTCTTTAACGTTCACCCAGTCTCCGCTGGCTCTCATCGTCCCGGGGACGACGGCCTGCTCCTCGTCCAGGAGACACACTCTGTCCTCTCCACCTGCGTCAAGCATCACGTGGATTTACTTCACCACAATTAGATCTACATGCGTGTGTGTGTGTGTATGTGTGTGTGTGTGTCAATGAGCTCTTTCTCACCTATGAACACCTGTCCTTCTCCCTCTGTAACAACGCAGCCATGTTCATCTCTGACCTCCACCAGCGTGTCCATCAGAGGAGTCCCGAGAGGCACTGAGGACGCCGCGCTGGAGGGACTGTGATGTTAAATAAAGTTGTGTTAAAGCTGCAGCTAAAACCAAGAAGCAGATTTAATAATAGATGGTTTTAAACACTCACGGGTCTGTGGCCTGCAGCAGAGACTGTGGGACTCTGCAGCAGCAGGCCCAGCAGGACACCTCAGTGATGCCGTAGATGTTGTAAATGTGTGTTTTGTTGTCCTCGTGTCTCCAGCTCCTCAGCGCAGCCGGCGAGGGACAGGCCTCTCCGCCCAGAGCCAACACCCGCAGCGAGGAGCCAGGCGACAACACTTCCTGTTTGAGGATGCGATGCCCGAAGCGGCTGAGCAGAGTGGGTGTGACCTGTGGAAACAAGAAAACACCACATTACAGAGACAGACGAGGATGTGGAGGCCAGAAAAAGAAAAAGAAACGTCTGTGATGAAGTGACTCCTGCCTGAAGGACGGTCGTCTCATGATCCCTGAACAGCAGCTGAGCCAGTCGACTGGGCGTTTTCTTGATCATAGAGGGAACCATGAGGAGCTGAGCCCCGGATGATAAGGCCAGGAAAATATCCACCACAGAGGGGTCAAAGGTTAAAGGTGAGGCCAGGAAAACCACATCACATGCACTCACCTGAAACAACGATCTGAGCAGAGAGAGGAGCAGGTTTTAGAATATCCATCAAAATAAAGCTCCAGAGACAAACAGGTGTAATCACTGACCTCAGGTGGAGAATATTGGGGAGGATACACTTGTGTGGTACTCGCACAATCTTTGGGAGGCCAGTCGTTCCAGATGTGTGCAGCACATACGCCAGGTCCCTGTTCCCAGAGTCCTTCTCCAGCTGGGCCACAGTCTGCTGTGTGTCTGGTCCGAGCTCAGCGACTGGCAGCAACTCGACTCGTACCACTGTTAGTTTGAACTTGGACAACACCAAACACACCTCCACCGACATGTGTGTGACCACAGCTGTCTGGAAACGCTTGATGGGAAAAGGAAAGAAAATCAATGTAAATATTCACTCAAAACACCGACTGAGAGGGAAACTGCTGATATACTACAGTACAACACACAACCAGAGGATTCCTTCAGGGCAAATACAAAGTAAAGAGATAAAATACAGATCTTTTGTATGAGTTATTGCGCTGCGCTCAGGTTTTTGAGGCACTAGATGTTTTTTATATTTCGGCCCAGGCTGGATTTGTGTGAGTGAATCTGCACCACTAAAGAACAATATCAGCTAAATGGCTCCTGACTTATTACCTAATATTGTGATCTTTTCTTAGAGGCCCTGCATAACAATATAGTACATAATATATATATGTATAATATTAATTTATTTGAATTCATATTGTGCTCACATTGGGTGTTTTTTCTACTTCAGGCTGTGATTTCCACAGATTGACTGTCACTCAGAAAACCTGGAGTCAGGTCGTATTATTTCACCACAGGCGCATTAAAGGGGATCTGGGTTCAGGCTCATAATAACAGACAATATTACATATAGCTGAACCTGAACATGTCTTTACATACTTTTATTGAGCTTCTGATCTGCACAGGTTTATATTTGTATGAATAAAATATGAAGTACTGAACCTGCAGCAGGTCAGTCTTCACAGCACAGTACTTGAGGCCACAGCGGTTCATGACTCTGGCAGAGAGAAGTCCTGGAGCCTCTGGGTCCAGTGGGACATAGGCAGCAGGAGACTGAAGGATCCTGGCGAACAGCGAACCATGATGAACATTAATCATGATGTTTTTCATTTTAGATCAATACTTTTAACAATGTTTATGTTCGTTTTATGTATTTTCTTTTCATGGGAATCACTTGGTGCAGGTCATTTCTTTGTTTTAAAGCACTTTCTGCTACATGAAAGGTGCTATACAAATAAAGTTTATTATTACTATTTTTATTATTGTTATATATATTACCATATACACAGCAGCGGACTCACCCTAGGATCCACACAGGTATGAACAAATCATCACGGCAGTACAGCCCGATGACGCCGTTACTAGCAGAGCAGTTCTCCCGTAAGATCAGAGACAGTTCACCGGTCAGTTCAACCAGGTCTCGGTACAGCAGAGACACCGGGCTCCCCGACACCGGGCCGCCGTCGTATGTCACGGCGGCTCTGTCAGGATGCTCAGCGGCAGCGGCGGAGACAAGCTCCTGCAGCGTCCCGGCAGCCATACTGATGAGAGGTTCACGGACCGCTGGCTCACTGAGTGTCGGTACCGGTTCTAGACAATAACATATCTCACATCATTTGTTATTCAGTTAAGGCGGATGAGGTTTTGTTTATATCCAGACAGAACACGTTTGTCGACTGAAGATGACGCATTACATTACAATGACGTCTCACTAATGGGTCGTTCGCGTCACTGACTGAAACTCTGAATTATCATAGTTAGTCTAAACAACAATGTACAAAAAACAAAAACAATAACAAAAAACACGGATTTGTCGTTATTGAAGTTCGTGAGTTTAAAGACGGAGAAAAGATATTTGTTTTAAACGTCTGCGTGTGATGTTTTACTATCTACCCACCCAAATATTGTTTTAACTATTGTTACACAGAATTATTGCTGACATAAAAAAATATTTGCGCAACTATATCGTTGCTACACATGGGCACCTCCACTATAAAAACAAAAACAAAAAACAAAGAGTTTTTATTTGTACTTCAAATTGAAATATTTAAACACGTTATTTCTAAGCATGATAGCATGAGTTCCTAGTAACAGTGAAGGCACCACATTTCCGTTGTCCAATCACCGTTCGCTCTTTTGTGGCAGAAGGATTTTGAACCCGAAAGCGCCTGAATCCTGCTGCTTTTCACCGTCTGTAAAGATCAAGAAAACGCATTTCACATGCAACATGGACGCTCATTTAAACGATCAACTGCATGAAAATGGCTTTAACTTCAAAAGGTCACTGGAGCGAATCATTGACAAGGTGAGTTGTGGCTGTTGTTGTCGGGCGCGGGTAACGTTAACGTTAGCGTGGGGTAGCTAACGTTAGCTGGAGTTAGCTTTAAATGTAAACTGTAAGAATGTGGAAAAAACCGAGCGTGCTAACCTCTGCTGTTGTTTTCCACAGTATTCAAAGCTTCAGTACCAAGACGGGGGGTATGAGGTGGACCTGGACAATACAAAAACCCTAAGTAAGATAACTATAAGCTAATATAACTGGCGGTGGGTCAATGCAAGAAACTGTCCCTGTATGAATATAAGGTCACAGAGAGGTGGACGATAGAAATATTATTAACCGTTATTTATTCAAGAGAGAGCTGAATGCACAATGTAAATAACAAACAATAAAAATATATATTAAAAAAAAAAACACACGAGGAAAATATAAAACATAATAGATGCCAAGATTATAAAACACAGCCATTTATCCAGTGAATGAATAAAAAAAAAAAAGGTCTCATCAGTCTTCTGTTTTGGGAAGGTTTAAATCTTGTTTCTAAAATGTGGATAACTTATAAACTGTCCATTTTTAAAGAGCTCTGTCTGTATCTTAGTTTGTGTGTCCGGGGCATTAAATCCAAATGCAGTCTTCCAAATTCAGAGTTAACCTTAGGTACAGTTTGGTGTGTACCAACTGAAATATAAATAATTTCCCAGTAAAGGATTTGTAAATAAATAGAAACCAATCCATGTTACCTCTTTCCAAGAGAGAGAATAAACGGTGCATAGAAATGAAACGGTGCTGAAAGGATGAATACGACAAATAAAGTTGACAAAAAATACAAAATTTGACAGATTGATCAATAGAGATTGATGTTAGTTACAGCCGTGCTGTCCTTTGTTTATGTCTTCAGTTCAGTAGTCTGTCATGTGGTCTCATTGTGTATCTTTTCTGTCTTGACTCCTTGCATGGTGAAGCTCTTGGACAATACATGATGCTGTCAAAACAAGAACTGAACAAGCTGGATTCAAAGGTTTGTCGCACTCTGCAGCCACATATAACACAAAGAGCATTCACCTGATTTAGAGAACAGTTTTTATACCTGCAGACTTTATAATCAAACACACGTCTTCTCCTCAGAGCCTGAGAGATCTGAGAGAGGAGTCATTGAGAGGTTAGTATCAATCACCTAAAAGGAGAATAGTAATTAACAGAGTTGTAAATGAATCCTATACTTCATCTAATTATTTGGACATTTCTTCCACCACAGTGCAGGACATTACAAGGAACTCTCAGGTAATTTTACCTTTTATTTATTAAACAGTTCTGTCTTGAAAATCGAACATCTAATGAATTTACTATGTTCGGTTTTCAACAGTTGGACGTCACGCAACAAGATGGCGAAGCTGATGAGACTTGTGTATCCTCTGGCCAACATTCTGGGGATGATTCCGGTAAGAGGAAGGAGAAGAATTTTTAAACAAGACTTGGATGGACAAGTTATGGCATACACTGATCTGACGCAAGTTTTATTTGTGGTCTCAGTTTAGGTAACGTCTCTTTTCTTCTCGTACCTACAGGGATGTCTAGAAGTGACACGACCCAGCTGACTGTGAGCCCTTTGGATGAGAGTCAGAGAAACGTCTCTGAAACCGAGCTCCAGCCTGAGGATCAAGACGAGGAACTGGAAATGACTCTGAGAAGTCACGGTAGCTCCTTTGTGGAGCTGTACCCCAGCATGATCAGTCGAATAAACAGGGCCCGGCACCGGCAGAACGTCTCTGAGGCCGCCGACTCTGTGCTGAGGAGGTACCGCAGGTGGCGGCAGCAGTCGAGCAGGAGCAGTCTCAACAGCACCTTCAACAACACCTTCATTGTGACACTGAGGAACACCAACAGCAACCCAAGAAAGATGACCAGCAAGATGCTGCACACGGAGAACTTCAACCCAAAGAAAAGGCTGTTCACGAGGGTTGAATCTGTCCCTCGCTCGATCAATCTGCAAGCGCAGCAGCCATCTCCTGAGAGAGGGAGGGGCTCGCTGAGAAGAGAGCAGCACCAGTCGATCCTCGTCATGGACCTCTCCGGTGCCCCTGACACCTCTCAACTCAAAGAGAACTCGTTGAATGAGACCTTCACTGTGTCTGAACTGTCCCTGCTGGGAGAACAGCCCTGCACTTACACCGCCAGTCCTTCACGATCTTACTACCCTGCTGCGAAAGCGTCCTCGGACCTGTCTCTCAGGTCTAGAAGGCTTTCTCTCTCGGCTCACTCGGAGCAGGCTGCTGGTTGCTCCATGTATGCGTCAGAAATCAGCGCAGTTAAAGAAAGAGCTGATAATTACGGCTCCCCGGTCCGGCAGAGTCCCTTAAAGGCAAGGATGATGACCAGCCTCAAAACACCACCTCACGGCTTTTTTAGAAGCTTCAGAGAATTTTCTGTAGAAAGCTTTTCCAGAGATTCTCCGAGGCCCAGATCAACGTCCACCTCTCTGTCCTCTCCTCCACGGAGGCCCTCTGTGCCGCTGAGGCTGCTTTGCCCTCAGGACTCACACCTCTCCCTCCAGCCACGGCCGCCTTCACCTCAGCCGGCCGCGGCAGCAGGTCGTCTCAGGCTCCGGCGGCACCTTTCCTTCGACTCCTCGCAGCCTTCGATCTCTGTCTCCTACTCACCGAAGAAGCTTGACGAGGACTTTCTGAAACTCTACCACAAGTTCGTCTGCCAGAACAAATCCTCTTTCTTCAACAGCCAACCCTGCCGTCTCTGCGCTAGAAGCTCTGAGGCCAGCAGAGGCCCCACCTCCTCAGCTTTGGCAGCCCTCGCCTTGTCGCCTCACCGCTCCGTCCTGAGGAAACGCCACAGGGAGTTTGGCTGGGGAGGTAATCCGCAGTCCAAACGCTCCAGGGACGAGAGCTGCACATCCTCCCCAGGGTCCAAACGCCACGGGAATGAGATGCTGCGGCGCCGTCTCTCTCTGGCTAAGCTGTCTCATGATGACCTCCCCTACAGCTCCAGTAAACACAGCGTGTTTCACAAATCCAGCTCGCAGCAGCAGCAGCAGCGTTCTGCAGACGCACATCAGGAAGTCGGGATGAGACAAGGATGGCCCGTATCTGCAGCGGAGTTCTCCGGCCTGGGTAACCCTCCTCCATGAAACACTGCATTATACAGAACCTTTTTCAGCCCCGTCTGCTGTTAAATTCATTAAATGATATTTATTTTAACAGGACGTTCACTTCAGAGCAGAATGGCAAACGGCTTCTCCCCCAGCTAATTAAACTCCTGTGTCCTACATGTTCTCCAGCGTTCCTGCGTTCTCTGAATCCTCCTCTCCCCTCCCCCCAACATGTGCAGAAAATGGTGAGCATGGATTACACCCATCGACGAACATCCTGCCCTCAGAGGTTTAACAACAGGAGCCAGGATGGAAAATGATTCATATTTTGTCACGTAACAAATATCAGAGGATCATGTAGCAGTGTGATGGTTCCAGTCCAAAGACTGGTGAAAGTGGAAACTGAAGTTCATCAGGTGACACAGCAGGTGATCTCTGTTGCTTCAGTCTGAGGAGCTCAGGAAATTCTTTTTACTAAACCTGTGTTGAGACGTTAAAGTGCTCATTGTTTTCCATCTTCGTGTCTGTTTTTAAAAAGATTTTACTCTTAAAATCACTGATTCGTTTGAATGACGTCGTTCGTCCTGTTGTTTGTTCTGTTACTTAATTTTATACTTTTTGTGCTGTTTTACATTAAATACATGAAGTTACTACAGCATCATATTCATTGTAATATCTGTTTATTATTCAAATAAAATTCTATTTCAATGTGAAGAAGCTGTTTCTAAAGATGAAAACACTCTTGTTCTCGTTGCATTTTTCTGTTTATTATTGAACTTTTCCATTATAAAGTTCAGAAAACAACATTTCCATTCAGACCCAAAACAAAAGAAACAGTGTTGAATTTTAGATAAAGGTAGAAAAGTAAACTAGATTAGGAAAGTATAGATAATTTCACTTTTTGGTCACTAGCCTTGTGCACTTCTCTGACACGATGAATTCTATGTAATGCTCATGTTTGTTAAGGCTTGGAATGTGAAAACTAAAGTAGTTTTAAGACTCATGAAAATACATTTACAGGATAATCTTCAAAAAGGGGGAAAAAAAAAAGAAGCATTAGTGTTGTGTGGTCAGATGTGCACCTGTAATCAGCGACACCAGGATGTAGTAAACACCTCTGCAGGTGAAACTACGACCACTAGAGGTCATCAAAAGCAACATTTCATCTCCAGTTATCAGAGCAAGTGGTTGTGTAATTCCAGGTTCTCATCCAGTCTATGGGAAACATTCCATCAACATGTGGGAGCCTGCAGCGACTCCACGGAGCCGCTGTAACCATGGCGATGGTACAGCGGTTACCACTCCAGCTCCACCGGATATTTCCCAGTCAGGCAGGCGGTGCAGTGGCCCACTCTCCTGCTGGGCTTGTTACTGGTGCTGATCATGTTGTCCTTCTCCTGGAGGGAGGCGATCCCCTCCTGGACGGCCGACACCAGACCCTCCACGGTCAGATACTGGACACTGTCCGCTCCTACACAACAGTTCAAGTGTTAACTTTATTTGATCCAGGTGTCTGTCTGTCTTCTAACATTACTCTGGTACAGATCCTGTCTTTGCTTAACGTTTCACTTTTATGTCCTCTTGGCTTTTATTCTGACTTTTTTTTACACTTCACTTCCTCTTCCTGTCCGTGCACTGCTCCGTCTCTGCAGAAACCCAAACTGGACCGTGTTTGGAAACAAAAGACAAATAGACCACGTGATTTTGTTTTTGGATTAGAATTAAAAGTTAATATAAGTTCCTGTTTTGGTTTCAAACTAAATAATGATAAAAAGGAATTGCCAAAAACCAAAAATGGACCAGTTTGATTGGTTTTTCATTTGGTTTTCACGTTTTGGTTTTCAGTCAAATGACGTATGAAGTATGGATTATCTGATGATACCTGAATCAAAATGATCTATTTTCTGTTTTTGTCAATTCCTCTTATTATTATTTTGTTTTAAACCAAAAACAAAATCACATGGTCTATTTGTTTTTTGTTTCCAAACAAAAAGCCAGAAAATCAAATTTTGCTTTCTGCAAATTTATTTTTTCATTTCTCGTTTGGCAGAGACAGCAGAACAGGGGACAGACAGGAAGAGGAAGTGACATGTAAAAAAAAAGTCAAAATAAAAGCCAAGAGGACATAAAAGTTTAACATTAAGAAAATAAATGTTTCTACTTCCAAGCATCAGAACAGGCCGAAGTGACAGTGTGATCTTACCGATGTATCCAGCGATGTCCTGAAACTCGGGCTTGTTGGCGATGAGCTCTTCCTTGGTTGGAATATTGATGCCCATGTAACACGGGAACCTGATCGGTGGAGAGGCCACTCTGATATGGACCTGTCAAAGAGTTAATACAGGTCAGTATGTGCATATACATATATATAGATATATAGATATATATATTTCATTGCTTTCATTTTTACTTAAGGACGGGGAGGGGAAAAGTGTTATTTTAATGTTTTCATTATTATTATTGTTTATTTCTTTGTTTTTCTTCACCATATATGTCTAATATATATATCTATATATATATATAGATATATATACATACTTTGGAAGATCAATAACAAAAAAACAAACCTCTGTTGCACCAGCCTCCTTGAGCAGTTTTATAATGGGGGAGATGGTGTTGCCTCTGACAATGGAGTCGTCGACGAGCACAACTCGTTTCCCAGTGAAATTGTCCGTCAGAGCCCCAAACTTCTTGGCAACTCCGAGTTGCCTCAGGCGAGTGTTGGGTTGAATAAACGTTCTCCCGACGTAGCGGTTCTTGCACAAAACCTCTATGTACGGCAGCCCAGCCTGTGAGAGGAGGACAGAGGGCCATGAGGAGGAGGGGGAGGGGCTGACAGCATTTCTTTACAGAGAGCAGACAGGTTGAACACAGACCTGCTGAGCGTAGCCCAGTGCAGCGGGCGTCGCAGACTCTGGCACAGTGCTCACTACATCAGCATCGGTTGGAGCCTCGATGGCTAACTGCCGACCACAGCGCTGCCTCACAGTATAGACCATCTGTCCTGCAGCACACAGATTCAACACACTGATCATCAGCTCTCTGATGAGTATTAGAAAGAATTAGACATATTCAGTTATTCATACCTTCGAAAATCGAGTCTGGTCTGGCAAAATAAACATATTCAAATATGCAGAAGGCGGGGAGGTCTCCCTCAGGGCGAGGCACAACACTCAGAGACTTGACTCCATGTCTGGATATCTGGACTATCTCTCCTGGTAAGACCTCTCTGTAATACCTGAGAACCAGGTGAGACGTGACAATGTTTGTTACCCACAGTCCGACAGTTGGAGTCAGAAGATATTACCTTGGTGGTGAAAACATACTTGGCACCGATGGACTGAAAGCTGCAGGACTCTGATGACACCACCCACCCCTCCGTGTCCTCCTCTCCAGCACCTGACCAAAGGGACAAAGACTGACGTTAATCATCCTCCAGCTCACACGTCTGACCTCTGACCTCTGATGTGACCAGACTTTCTGACTGATAACCTCTTGTGAGGCCTCTGCTTTACAGATAGCAGGAGTTCAGGTCCTTTAAGGACAAACGTCTGTGTTCAGCACATACAGCGTCTCTGATGCAACTGTCACACGTGAAGAAAAAAAATGTTTAGAAAACCTGGAGTGTGCAGTTTAGAGATGGGAACAAGCTGTCCAATGCAGAGTGGTCGATTTCCATAGGGGTCACGCACCGCGTAGATGACGTCTCTGAACATCATCAACAGTGAGTACGACGTCGGCGTCTCAGTCATGAGGTTTTTAATTCTGCAACCCCAAAAAGAACACAATTATTAAAAGTGTGTGTAGAAAATGATTAATATCAAACACAGCATCGTATCACGACACTGACCTGGCAACCCAGTCGGGTGCATCCACCTCCTCCATAGGGGGAGTCAGCGCCAGCAGCTGGGTGATGAGCTCACTGTCTGAGCTGGTGGAGAGGCCCACACCATGACGCATCACCTGCACATGACACCTCAGAGTTCATTTCACTGCATGTGTTTGAGGACAGGAATTATCTCTCACTCACACACACACACACACACACACACACACACACACACACACACACACACACACACACACACACACACCTTACAGTAGAGGTGACATGTTGCACCCAGTTCATGCACCACCGACTACAACTCGCACAGAACGCTGCTGCACAATGTTAACTGGCACCAGAGCAGCAGATAAACTTGTATATGAAGGTTATTGTGCATTTTGTGACTAAAGCAGGAAACTTTCTCTGTGTTTCTATGAACCAGGAAGTTTATTTTCAGACATGGAGGCGTCTCAGATGTGACCTCTGGGACAGGGCGGAGCCTCCCGGAGTAATGAGTGTGGTCCAGACCAAAATAGCATGTTAGCTTCTGATAAGAGTTCGCTAATGTGCTAGCTAGTCATGTGATTCCATGGAACACACAGCGGAGGATGTCAATGTTTTTAACAAACTATAGCTACCTTAACACCTGGGAATGGGGGGGGGGGTCTGCAAAACTGGTGCTTTAAGCAAAATTACGTTCCATGGCCACAGCAGCAAATACAAGTTTATGCAACTTGGCCTGATTATAACGATGAATGGGCCAAAAACTGGGGAAAAAAAAAGCAATGCTGAGGTCAATGACCTCTCAAGGTCACCAGAGGGCAGATATAAACTGCCCCCCCCGAAATAAAACCTCGGGTGTGTAAATTATCTGCTGAAACTTTAATACTTTAGTCATAAAATGCACAATTGGTTTGATTCACTTGAGTGTCTTTTAAAACTCTTCTTAAAAGATTCTTTAATCAGAAAGCTTTTATGAATGTTTGATATCTTGTTGTGTTTTATTTATTTATATATTTAATTGTTTTAACCTCCCATGATAAAATCAATGTTTGTTTTTCCTCATGTTTCTTATTGCCGTCTTAATTCCCCTTTTTTCTTTCTGTAAAGCACTTTGTAACTTTAAGAAAAGTGGTACATAAAAAAAAGTTTATTATTATTATTATTATTATATTACACTAGATTCAGTGTGAGGGTCATCCTCACCTTTTTCCGCAGGGCATGGGCATTAACCAGCTCTCCATTGTGAGCTACAGCAATCTTGCCGTGCAGCGTGTCCACCACGAAGGGCTGGCAGTTCTGCAGCTCCGAGATCCCGGTGGTCGAGTAGCGTGTGTGACAAATACCGAGGTTACCATAGCGCAGCTTCAGAAGAGCCTCGGGCGGGAAAGCCGTGCTAACTAGTCCCATTCCCTATAGAAACATTTAAAAAAAAAAAAAAAAAAACATGGAGAGGAGTGAGACATGTTTCCACCTGCACAATCTACATAAATCAAGTGACTGTAATCAACAATCTGAGTGTGGTAAAGCTTTAAACACAAAAAACTATTAACATGTTCAATTTAATCCTGTGTGTGTGTGTGTGTGTGTGTGTGTGTGTGTGTCTCTTTATTATAAGGTGATGTGCTCATGTTTCACTGTTACCTTGTGGGCTGTGTATGTAGGTGGACTGGCTCCATCACTCGTAACGATCCCGGCACTTTCCTGTCCCCTGAGCGGGACACACAAACAGCCACGTGTAAATTTCAACAGTGTCAATGAATCAGTGGGATGTGAGTTTTCTACTGAGTGATCCCTCCGTGTCTTTTCTGCAAGGGTGAATGTGAATAAACTTGTTCAGCTCTTGAAGCCTGATACGAGCCTTTAGGCAAAACAAACTGGTTTGACACTGAGGGGAAAAAAATAAAGCAGGAATGAGGAGCAGAAAAAAAAAAGAAAAAGCAGAAACATCTGCCTCTGTGCTGTGTCTGCCATGGAGGGGGAGTCGTCTCGCTGCAGTTTCAGCCTATTTACCAAGCTGCTTCTCGGATTACAGTTGGTCCCGCCCCCTCAGCACACAGCTTAAGCCAGTGGTGAGGCTGCTTTTCTGCATGGAGGCGTTGCTTTCAGGCTTAACCGCCTGGTTGCCTAGGGAACCGGGCAGCAGAGACAGACGGGGCTGGGGGAAAGAAAGCGTTTCCAGGTCAGCTCAAACATGGAGAAAGGAGCAGAGAGACAAAGAGGAGGTGATATGGAGGTGGTGGAGGAAAAAGGCTCAGTGGAGAGGCAGTGGGGGGAGGCAGAGGTGCTGGCTCTCGTGTCCGTGTGGGACGAGGTGGGAGCTCAGCACGTAGCTGAGAGCAGAGCCACATTTGAGCTGATCTCAGAGCGCCTGAGGAGGCTCAGTGTTGTGCGCAGCTGGTGGGAGTGTCAGGCCAAGAGCAGGAGCCTGGGACTTCAGAGCAGGAAGCCTGACGCAGCAGCAGCAGCAGCAGCAGCAGGCGCTTCAGCAGACTACAGCCCAGGAGTGGATGGAAGGCCGGTGGAGGGCTGGGAGGAAGAGGTGGAGGAAGTGGGTAATCAGAGAGGAGTCTACCCTTCCTCAGTCACTATCCCAATGCAGGAAGGTAAATGTAGGTTTAACCCCAACTGTGGCTCTCATGATCACAACATATGACGAGGGCTCAACACAATTTAGTATTTCAACTAAAACTAACATCAGAGGATAGAAAAGTGTTTCAGTGAAGTTATTTTAGGCCTGGAACTGAACTGAAATCACCTTTGTTTGCTCTAAAAATTGTAACTACACTACAGTCAGGGTGAATTAAACATGTCATACAAGATCCATCTTCTTTCTTTTCCTTCAAATCACTCTAAAGATAACACTGTTTGTGCACCTGTACAGGAATCAAGGGTCGAATCCATCGAGCGCTTCCTTACACTCCGAGCGTGGCTGAGGAGGGGGGCCGCCACTGGACGGACGACGAGGTGCGAGCGCTGCTGTGCGTGTGGGCCGACTGGCGTATTCGGGAGCGCTTGAAATGCACGCTACGCAACAAGTCCATCTTCCAAGAGATGGCCCGTCAGATGCAGAGAAACTTTGGGGTGGTGCGCAACTGGAAACAGTGTCGGACTAAATACAAGAACTTGAAGTACGACTACAAGACTGCTAGAAGCGCTCACGCCGCTGGGGGCAGCACGGCAGGAGGCCCCGGGAAGTACATGAAGTTCTTTGATGAGGTGGAAGCCATTCTGCTGGACCGCGGACTGGAAAACGGCACAACGGAAATGCAGAAGAGGTTGTATGATGGAGAAATAGCAGCAGGGAGGATAAAAACAACAGCAGGCCACGCAGCTCAGACGACGGCCTCAGAGACCGAGGTTGTCATAGAGATTGATGATGGTATGCATCCAGTCTGTAACACATGAAGTGGTTTGGTGTTCAAAGCTGAAAGGACAGTCACTTTTTCTACTGCTTATTTTATTTCCAGATGACAACAGCGATGACTACGACATGGACGGAGACATAGAGGCGAAATGGAGAGGAACAGGTTTGTGACATCGAATCACCAGGACGGTTTACAGTGTACGTCATTATTTATTCATCTTTATATCCATTTTCATTCACTCCAGATGTCCATCTTACAGATCCGTCCAGCTCCGACCAGTTCCACGTGGTCACGGTGTCAGACACAGGTCGAAACTGGAGCGACCAGGAGGTGCGAGCGCTGATTCAAGTCTGGTCCGATGAGCGTGTGTGCAGGCAGCTGGAGAGCTCGACCAGGAAGAGAGACATCTTTGTTCAGATCTCCAACAGGTTAATGCAGCAGGGCATCGAACGCGACTGGAAACAGTGTCACACCAAGTACAAAAACCTCAAGTACCTTTACCGCTCCCTCCAAAGGGGCAAGACAGATGATACTGACCCCAGACGCCTTATGAGGTTCTACGATGAGGTGGACGCCATTATGAACCGCACAACTAACGGCTCACCGCATGCCGCAGGACCTGCTGACCACCAAGCACATTCGGGAGGACTTGTGACGCTGGAGGGTTGTGAGGAGAGAGATCACTTAGACGTCTATTCGACAAAGGCCAGCGCAGTGACGACAGTGATGGGAGCGATGGAGGAGAGAACTTGTAGCTCCGACTCCGTCTCGTCTATAAGCCTCGACATTTCACCGAGCGTTGAAGAGCAGAGGCCGCACGTAGTGAGGGAGCATCGCTTGGATCAGCAGCACAGATTAGTGGGTGAGCCCAGTATTGTTTCTCATTCATGTCTAGTGTGAAGGTGAGTTGGAAGTTTTTTTTACTGTCAGGAGCAGAGATTCACAGCAGCCGAACACATCAAGCTTTGATCTGACTTTACCTCTCTTAAAAAGTGTTGAATTATTACTTATCCAACTATTTATCTCCCAAACTTCAACCAAGTGAAACTTTTAAAAAGGGTCAGTTCACATAAAAACATTTTCCTCACAGAGCCAGCTGTGAACATTTTTTACAGGGACTATATTTCCTGTTCTGAAAGTAGTTCCGGTGTGGATTATCCTGAATCACGAGGACATCGTCTGTGGATAGAAACTCTACAATGTCTTTTTCTTTCAATGTTGAGTGGACCACAAACACAGTCCCATTCACCTTTACGGTAGGGCTGATCAATCAAAATATTATCGAAATCAACATCTGGCCAGCTGCAATTTCATCAAGGTTTTTATATATATATATATATATATATCATCATTTTTATATTTTTTTCAGTGAAATTTAAATGCAATATGATTTTTCTTTTGCATATTCAGTGCTACTTTACTGCAGTGGAAGACAGGCAGAAATCTCAGACATGGCTTTTTCAAAACCTGTTCACATAAAAACAAAAGTATCTGCATGAAAAGACACCAATTAAAATATGTAAATGAGAAAATATGTAAATGATTTGTAAATTGGGTGAACTGACCCTTAAAACTTTCATTTAAGAAGATCCTTGAAATAAGCGAGACAAAAAAAAAAAAACATTTCTAAAGCCAAGAATAAAAACACTCATTTCCTTTAAGTGAAGTAATCCTGTAAAGACACTGTGGTAAAAAGAGATTTAGCTCCGTGTTTTATAAACGCTGTGAATGAAAAGAAATCCCCGAGTAAAACTGGTTAACGTCACAGCCTTTAGGTCTGTGAGTTATTGTTTAGTTGAAGCAGCTCTGAAATCTTTGCTGCTTTTGTTTGAAGAAGTCACGAGTCCGTCTGTCCATCTTCATTTAAATAGCATGTGAAATCATTTTTGGCCTGTTCTCTCGTAACCGGTTTATATTGCATGTTGTTCGCAGAATCTTCTGAGACAAGGGTAGAGAAAGAGGATACCTATTCAGCGAACAGAGGACTGAAGAGGAAAGCTGTGGATCAAGGTTTGAAACGCGCCTCTTTCTGTAATCACTTTGCATCTCACATGATGTTCACGACTGACTGAAGCCTTTGTCATTTCTGTCTCAGTCCCATGATTTGCCATGGAGCCTCATAATGAAATTATGGATAAGGGTACCATTGTAACTGCTAACAAAAGGCACAACCAGTGTTGGGAGGGATCCTTTTAAAATGCATTTCACTACAGATTACACAATACATGCCCTTAAATGCCGTTTTTAACATATTACATAAGTTACTCAAAGCGAGTAACGTATTTTAAATACTTTGGACGACTTCCACAGTGTCTTGCATAATGATTAAATGATAGATGCATTATGATACAGCCACCTACAGTAGACTGACGCCAGGAGTCAAAGACAGCAACGTTTTGTCTGGAAAAAAGGATGAACACCAGTTTTTCTTTGACCTTTTATTTTCCACAGCGTCACGTTAGAGTGAAAACCAGTGAACAAGATGAACAATGTGAATTTTAAAAAGGTCTGCAGAACATTTTGTTTTCACTTCGTTGCCTTAAAATGAATCCTCTTAAAATAAAAACAGCACCAGAAAAGACAGTTTTACCTTCTCTGGGTGAAAACAATATAAATAACAATAACAGAGGAAGCTAGCTCGCATCCCAAAAGGTTGTAGTTCTCAACAGGTTCCCTGACATTTAGGAAGGATTTACGTTACTGGACAGAAGTAATTAGCAAAAGATATATAGCAAACATCAGGCACCTCTTAGAGCTTCATGAAGACAACCTTGAGGTTCTTGAAGGTGTTTCATGTCTCGTCTGAAAGGTGTCTCCAGGTCTAGCTGACTGGTGAGGGGTTCCAGGTATTTAACCTCTTGTGGGGTCGTTGAGGTCACATGTGAGTCGTTGACCCACTCGGCCTTCATGTGAGTTGTCAGGGTCACCCAGTCCATGGTGGGGATGGGTATTGAGTTTCCTGTGGAGTGATCTCAAGACCGTATTGTAAATGGCGGATAAGTGGCGTCATAAACCACCTCCCCTGTTTGGTGATGGTCGTTCCAGCTTGTGAAGCAGTTGTTTGGTTTCCCCAACGTACAGGTGTGTGTATTCCTCACTGCACTGAACTGTGTACACTTCATTACTCTGATTGTGTCTGGGTGGTTTGTCCTTAGCGTGGACAAGCTTCTGCCTCACCTCGTTACAGGGCCTGAGGTGCGCAGGGATTTTGAGTTTGTTAACGATCCTCCAGCATCATAAGGAATGATAATATTACTCTGTTTATTGTTTTTTTCTCTGTCTGTTCTGTATCTTGTTGTTGTTTGAGTAAGTTTCAGTAACCACGTTGTTTAAGTGTTTCACTGATGTTTTTGTTCATTCTCCTCCCCTTCTGTCCTTGCCGGCACGTCCTGAACCCGATGCTGACCCCCAGTTGGTTCTCCAGTGAGTGGTGACTGTCAAAACAGTAAATATTGATCTGTGCGTGGGGGTTTTGTTGAGACTTCTGTTATCTTCAATGTGCACAGCACAATCCAAAAAGGTCTCTGACATCATCTCGAGTGAATTTGATGTTATTGTCCTCTGCGTTGACATGTTCTGCGAAGGCCTCCACTTCCTGTCTTTTGATTTTGACCCAGGTGTCGTCCATGCACCTAAACCAGTGGCTAGGAGCGGTTCTTGTGACGGGATGAGGGCTCTGCTCTCTACTTCTTCCAGATAGAGATTAGCCACTGTCAAAGACACTGGTGAGCCCCTCAACTGAGTCCAGGTTTATTTTTCTAACCTTGTTGGCAAAATCCTGGGAGTTTTTGATGCGGTGCGGAGAGCTGCCAACCAGAGGAGCTAGGATGGTGGCCAAGTGTTTGGCAGTGTTGAAGGTTACAGAGTTAATGCTGCTGATGATGGGTCTGAGTGGGTCTCCTTCTTTGTGTGTCTTTGCGGCGTCCCAAATAAATAAATGCAAGTTAGGTTAAACGTCTTCAGGAGCCTAAAACAAGACCGAGACCAAGACCCGCACAACTGACGACCTTCAAACATCATGCATGTTGTAAATTGGCTGGTTTCCACTTGGCGGTTAGCTTGTCAGCTAGACATGCTTAGCAAACTTGCTAATATGCTACAATGCTAACAGGTTGATCTGCAGGCACCAGTCAGTGACTGCAGATTTTAAAAAGTCCCTTTATGTAATACAGTGGTCCTCAACCTTTTCCAGCTCATGGCCCACTTGAAAATCTCCAAAATGTTGGTAGCCCACATCTGATCCCATAACAATACAGAGGCCGAATAATGTGTTATCAGAGCACTTTTTATTTTAATGAAAACAATCGAACATTTAGGACTGAACTGAAAGCAGGGGAAGCTTAATTTTTCTTATTTCTTTGATGGGGGAGACACCATCTGTCTCTTGACTCCTTTTTTCTTTTAATTCTTGTTGTTATTAACCAGTTATCAATTTTGATACTCCAGTTTTTGCCAAAAATGTGTTTTTTAGTGCACAATCACACTGAGCAAACAAGTTTACAATGTGGTCTGGCAGTAAAGTGGTCCGGCTGGACCCATCCAGTTTCTATCATTGGCTTAACAATGAAAGGAATTTTTAAACATTATTGTTTTTAAAAAATCATTTTTTTTTTTAAACCATTTAAGAGAATTTATATTTTATTATTTTTTTCATAACGCCATCTTTTCAACAAAATTGTTCTGATTTGCAAATGATTTGTCGGCCCCCTTGCAATACCTTCACAGACCACCAGTAGGCTCCAGCCCACAGGTTGGGAACCACTGATGTAATCTATTAGTTTTAAGAATGCAACTGTAATCTGATCACAACCCATTTAAATTGTGACTGTAACTTAATACAGTTACTCATATTTTGAATTCTAAATACATAAGCCAGTTACATTTATTATTACATTACTCCCCAACACTGGGGACTACACACGATAAAGTCCAGATGTCAGATCAAGAGACAAAAAACCTCTTCTCACCCATAGAGATCTAAAAATAAGAAAGTATCAGCATTTCTTTTTTTTTTTTTTTTTTTACAAATAACAGCATCCAGGTGACGTAAGAGAGATAGTTTGAAATAAAAACTGCTTTTGTTCTTCTTTCCAGACCCCAAACTCCAGACTCCAGTGAAAAAACTGAACACTGGCTCTGACTTTGCTGATAAGGTGGAGGCCCAGTGTAAAGAAGAGCAGGATCACATCCCAATAATAAAGATCAACTCAGTGTGTTCAATGGCCTCCCCTAATCCGTCCCCTGTGAGACAGGTAATAACTGCTAACTACATAATATGAAACCTTACGCAACCAAGATAGGAGCATATCTGAAACCGCCTGTAGGAATCAGAGCTGCAGCAAAAGATCAATCGAAAAAATGTCTCAATTACTATATTTTAACGACACATTTTTGTTTTTTTAAAATACATTTTATAAACCAAGCGATTAATCAAGAAAATAATTGTCATATTAATCAAAAATGAACATAATTGTTGCAGCCAGAGTAGGAATCCAGAAAAAACATGATGCTGCTGAGCTGGTAATGATAATGTAAATTCCGTCTTGAACATATAGGATTTTTTTAGAGCAGTAAGGATAAGTCCATTAATCATTTAACTAATCAACAGTTAAATCAACAATTAATCAGTAACCATTTTGGCAATCGATTAGTCATTAGTCTTTTTCTTTTTTTAACAAAATGCCATTCCCTGGTTCTCAGGTGATACAACTAAAAAATCTTATAGTTTTTGAGTGTTAGTTAAATACAACAAACATTTCATAAACATAATCTCGGTCTGTTTTTCTACTTTCTAACATTTTATAGACACGACATTAATCGGTTAATTCAGAACAATCTAAATCATTTATTTTATTTATATATTTCATCGTCACGCTTCTTTAATTTTCAGTCACATTTTTTTGTCGCAGTGAAAAAACGATACTGCCTCAAGTCACCCAAACAAACTTTCATTCTGTCTTCAGAAATACAAAACTAATTGTTTCTGAGTCACAAGTGTGACTTGTTCAGAAATGTCTGTCCCTCAGGAGATGATTTAAACTACTTTTACTCCATTTTTTGGACATAACTCAAACGTAGTCGATCCTGAACACTCCTCTAATTAACCTTTATACAAATGCTTTAAACTGACTTTTTTTACTGTCTTTAATCGTTATGTTTATTAAAGCCAGTCACGTTACAAACGTGCATACACCTTTCCGTTACTCACCTGTGCTGTAACGCCACCAGTCCCAGGGTTAAGACCTGAGCCACCTCCAGCTGTGTGGGCCACTCTCCGGCGGCCACGCACCCGAAAACCCCGCATTCCTCCCCGATACCGGACTCCTCGAACTCCATGTCGCCCCGTCGCTGTCCCGGTCCTCCCGTTTACCCACTCACGGATTCTCGTGTCCGCTTGCCTGAGAGCAGTCGGCGCGTGCGTGTGCGTGAACGCGCTCCGATAGTATCGACCGAACACGTGCCACTACACGGTGCAAACGGTTTAAAACACAAACTCCGCTGCCATCGTTGAAGCGGCTGTGAAGTCAGGAGTCCGACAGAGAGTAACGTCTGAAATAAAACCGCGCGTGCCGCTTCAAAAGGTTAAACAGGCCGCCATCACCTACAGTCATCAAAGCGGAGTTAATCAAACATATTGATTTGACGAAACGCACGCGGTTTTTTTTTTTTTTTTTTAAGGGTGAGAAAGATAACAGCTAATCTGAATCCAACTTGTCAATTCGGTCAACTGTTTTCTGTTGATGAGGTTTCTCATGAATCAGTCTTCTAGTCAGAGGGAAAATGGGGGAAGTTTAGTGGATAAATCCTAAAAAGTTCTTCGTCTTGCAAAATTTTTGATGTTGGAGCGTCTTCCCACCACGTGGTGACCAATTTGCTGCTGTGATTGGTTGGCTGAATCAGTTGAGGGACGTGATTGGTTGTCAGAGCACGTAAGATAGACTGCTTCCCTCGTCTTCTGCCTCTGAACTCGCCGTCTTTTTAAAGTTGGGTGATTCTTGTGTGTTTTGTCTTCCAGGGCTGTAAGTCATTAAAGAACTCCATCATGGCGTCCACACCAGGTACAGTACAACACGAGTGTGTACTTTATATCTTAAGTTAAATGTGCAGCGCTTAACTTTAAAGTGTATGCGTGTTGTTGTTTTTTTTTTATGTTTCAGAGCTGAAGATCGGCCAGAAGCTGAATGAGGGAAAAACAAAGCAGATTTTTGAGCTGGTGGACCAGCCCGGACTGGTTCTGGTGCAGTCCAAGGACCAGATCACCGCAGGGAATGCTGTGAGGAAAGACCAGATGGAGGGCAAAGCTGCCATCGCCAACAAGACGACGAGCTGCGTGTTTAAGCTGCTGCAGGAATCCGGTAAATGCACGAGTAAAAGTTATTGATTAAAAAAAAAAAAAATTAAAGAAAAGATAGGTTTCCAGGTGAATCAGCGGGCTGCAACAGCTGTCATTCACTCTTAGGTAACTTTCCCACATGTGGAGAAACATGTTTTGGCATTGAGTCTTCAAATTAAAAGTATTTTAAAACACACCCTAAAATTAAAAAAATAAATTTATCACTATATTTTTGCAGTGGCCTGAAGTCATCACCAGTTTGACCTCAGTAGTGTCTGAGATAAGAGGTCAGTGAGGTGACTGTAGTATTCAGAGAGAAAGACCTTTGTCCTATTTATTTACCTTTTTAACCATTAATGAACAGAACTCAAACAGTTTCAGTATTTTTAAAACATTTTTGTGTTATGTACATCATTTCAATTCAATTTGCTTCTTATTGTAAATAAAATAAAATCTGACAATATTTAGTTTATCACAGAAGTGAAAGGTTTTGAGAAAATAGTCATATTTGAGAAGCTGGAACCGGCAAACCTGTTGGTGTTTCTGTTTTTAAAATGGCTGAAAATGTAAATTGATAAATAAAATAATAATTTTCTGTCATTTACCCATTTGTTTTAGATCTTGTTTAGCTATTTGTCTTCATGGGAAAAAATCTGTGCAGACTTTTGATTTTTGTCTTCTGTGATGTGCAGGTGAGACTGTGTGTATGTGCATGATCCCTGCAATTAACAACACGTGCTTTTAAAAATGATGAAAGCATTCGTGTGTGTGTGTGTGTGTGTGTGTGTGTTTGTGTGTTTGTGTGTGTGTGTGTGTGTGTGTAAATTCCAAAATGACTCGCCACCTTGTTTTAATTTAGAAATAATTGGGTAACTGTAACCCACACGCCACACATGACTGTGGTGTGTGTGTCAGCCGAGCTGTAGTAATGGCTGCCTTGTGACTTGAAACACTGCAGTGCGTAATTCAGTAGAACATGACCGACCACACCTCCTTCACTTAACGTTAAAGTTCAGGTTGGAGCCGATCTGTGCTGCTTTAAACTGCTGCCGTCTCTCTGCAACTAAATGTTATAAATTTGGATTGCAGAGAAGTTCCTCTGCTTCGTTCACACTTCCTGATCGACCTTGTTTTCCAGGTATTAAGACGGCCTTTGTGAAGCAGCACTCAGACACAGCGTTCATCGCTGCCCACTGTGAAATGATTCCCATTGAGTGGGTGTGTCGGAGGGTGGCGACCGGATCCTTCCTGAAGAGGAATCCAGGAGTCAAAGAAGGCTACCGCTTCTCTCCGCTGAAGATGGAGATGTTCTTTAAAGTGGGTCTGACACCTGACCTCGGTTGTGTTGTTGCTCAAATGTCAAATCACATCTAACAATAACACATCTGCTCTGTTGATGTAGGATGATGCCAACAATGACCCTCAGTGGTCCGAGGAGCAGCTGCTGGAGGCCAAGTTCTGCCTGGCTGGGCTCACTATCGGTCAGTGTGAGGTGGATATCATGAACCGCAGCACCGTGGCCATCTTTGAGATTCTGGAGAAGGCCTGGGCCACTCAGAACTGCACGCTGGTGGATATGAAGGTATCTGCTGCCCCCTGCTGGTTAATTCAGTATCCAAGCATGACCATGTTTCTGCTGAGCTCCTGCAGCTGCTGCAGAGTTAATGAGAACAATCGTCTTCACTTACAGATTGAGTTTGGTGTCAATGTGAAAACTCAAGAGATCGTCCTCGCTGATGTGATCGACAACGACTCATGGAGGCTGTGGCCAGCTGGAGATCGAAGCCAGCAAAAAGATAAGCAGGTACGGATTATTAATTAATTAATTAATTATATTTGTCTTTTGATCTAAATAAAAGCTGAAAAAACTAACTCTGTTTCCTGTCTTTCTAGGTGTATCGTGACCTGAAGGAAGTCACCCCCGAGGCCATGCAGGTGGTGAAGAGGAACTTTGAGTGGGTCTCTGAAAGGGTCAAGGTACATTCAACCTAATCTTTGTTATCAGGTCAGGCTTTGGCTTTTGTTTGCCTTCAATCAACTGTTTTACTAACACAGTTCAACATAAACTAGTTATCTGAGCTTTGTTGCTTTTCCACTTTATCATTTTCTTTTTTCAATTCTTTAACACAGTTCTTGAATTAGTTTGTTTTCCCTTCTTACAGATGATGAGTTGCTTTTTATGTCATAGATTTTTACGTTTAAGATGGGTTCTAGAAACACACCTAGTCTCTGGTTTATGGAGACTAATGTTACTCACTTTAAGTGGACTAATAAACTGGGACTTGCATGGAGCTGATGAGTGCTTGTGTGTTGTGTCCCCAGCTGCTGCTGGAGTCCCAGGCCAGTGGAAGGGTGGTGGTTCTGATGGGCTCCACCTCGGACATGGCCCACTGTGAAAAAATCAAGAAGGCCTGTAGCTCCTATGGAGTCCCCTGCGTCCTCAGAGTCACCTCGGCTCACAAAGGTCCAGACGAGACGCTCCGTATCAAAGCAGAATATGAAGGTGTGCTTTCATCTCTGACATGAGCAGATTCCCTCCTAAAGAATTGGACTTTGTTACCTGTCATGTCATGTCATAACATCTGTGCTCTTCCTCAGGTGATGGTGTGCCCACTGTGTTCGTGGCTGTGGCCGGCAGAAGCAACGGTCTCGGTCCAGTGATGTCAGGAAACACGGCTTATCCTGTCATCAACTGCCCCCCCCTCACTCCAGACTGGGGTGCTCAAGATGTCTGGTCATCCCTCCGTATGCCAAGTGGTAAGCTCTTTAGCTCTTACTGTATTCTGTACTGACTCATGTCAGTGTCTTCATCACTGTGACTGAGCCTTTGTTTCCCCCCCGCAGGTCTTGGCTGCTCCACGATCCTCTCCCCCGACGCCGCTGCTCAGTTTGCGGCGCAGATCTTCGGCCTGACCGATCACCTGGTGTGGTGCAAACTGAGAGCCTCCATGCTCAACACCTGGGTGTCTCTGAAGCTGGCTGACAAGAAGCTGCAGGCCTGCAGCCTCTGAAGGGGCTCAGGACCTCGTTGAGCCTCGTGTGCTCCTCTGTCCGTCTACGCCTCGTCTTCGTTTACCGCGACAAACCCGCTAACAGTAGATCTAATCTACACCTTCTTCCTCACACGTGAATCATTCCACTGAAAGAGAAAATGATTAAAAGCTTCTTAATGAAATGTTTCTGAGGTTGTTTTAATGCTATTTTTTTCTGTAAGGGATAGGGAATAGTTTGAGTTTCAGTTAGATGAGATCCACACCAAACTCAATTTGGCAAAAGCATTGGAACAGAGAAACTGCTTCCTTGCTTCTGTCCAAAAGTTAAAATAAATAAATAAATAAAATCCACCTACCAGCACCTCTAAAGCTCACACGCTGTCCTGTTCGTTTAATCTGTACAAACAACAAAGAAACAGTAAGAGCAGCAAGAAAACAAGCTGCGTGGTGTCAAACACCATTTTTATCTGTTAAACAGAATCATGAGACTTTTCTTTTTCTGAGTTTACATTTTTTTTAAAGGTTCAGATTGATATTTAATGATTCTGCATATTGAGATTTGATTATTTCTGGCAAACGACTGAATACAATTTTGAAAGATGCTTAGTATTTGAGCGGAACACTGGCAGCGCGGAGAAAGCTTTATGATAGCATTTAGTTCATCTTGTAGGGAGATAAAATTTAATTTATAGACTTTTCAAAATGTTTGAGGGCAGCAGCAGCAGCAGCAGCAGCAGCGGAGGAATGTGGACTTCAGTATTTGCTGTGGCCCAGATTTGGTCCAGAGTGAGTTTTTCTTGCCTGTGATGTGATTTCAGCCTCAGAGATTCTGTTGGCGTGTTTTGTGGAGTATGCATCACTGAGGAGATGGCGTGTGGCTCAGGTGCACACTGCATATGAACTGCACACAGGTATAATGCACCCATGTTTAGAGCTGAATGATGAAGTTCACAGTGACTGTTTCCATTTGCATTTCTTACTTAATTACTCCCGACGCATATTTTACCAACGACTGCACTGATTTATTAGTTCATCTTCAGTGACGACAGCTCCTACCACACCTGGGCTGCAGACAGGTGGACTTCCTCTGACTGAATTAGATTCTGCTGAAGACACAGACACTAATGACCTAACGGATAGAGAGCTGCTCTCCCAGTTCATAAACCTTTCCCTTATATCTTCCACTATTTTCATGTTATCTTCATTATCAGCTCAGTTGCGGGACCTCGACTCGACCACAAGAGGGAGTCTGTGACCCACATGCTGACGATCCCAAAAAAATCTTCACCCTTCAATCCGTTCCAGCAGTTTGCAGCCAAGGGAGTGAGTCAGAATATCATGCTACCATTTTATCTTTTACTTCTATTATAGCACAGCTCTGCCTTTGATAGTAAGTGATGGGTATAATGACCTGTGATGTGCTAAATCTTTGTTCACGTGTGGGCGAAGGTGGGAGGATGGAAGTGCTGAGGGTAGAGAGTGAGTGCGGAGAAGCCGTTTCCTCTGCATTTTAATTTCAAGTTGGATTTTATGCTTAAAAACACAATGAACTCAGGCCTCCCGTCTCTAAATCAATATGCAGCATGAGGAATGGGGGAGCTTAAATAGATGTAATGTGTATGTCTATCCAGGTCGCCTTGACAACCGTAACATGGCAACAATCACTCTATATACAATGACCAGCTTGTCTTTGTCCATTTCTTCTCTCATCGCTGCGCTGAGCTCTGTGGCTCCATTTTTTTTATTTATCACTTTAATTCCCTTCTCCCTTTCATTGTTTCACCGTCCTCCATCCCCATGGATACCACTGTAGTCGAGAGTAAATGAACACAACGTGAATCATCAGCAAAGTCTAACCCACTAATGAGTGATGAATGTGTGTGGTCATGACTTCATCCCGGGGATGAACGGTTGTTAAACGTGATCGCCGGTGTAAGAACAGAAGCGGAGGCAGAGCTGCAGTGACTTTGTCGAGACTCAAAAAAGCGGTTTATTCAGCTGAGGGTGGCAGTTAACTATCACTACTACAGTTTATTTACAGGTGGTTTACAACAGTTTTAGATCTTCTTCTCTTCTTTGCGGTTTGGTCTTGTGTACAAAACGCTCTGAGTCATCCTACATATAAACATCATCACTAACATCGCTGTCATTCTCCCTGGATACACAAACACCGTCCTGCCGTCACACTCGCTTCCTCCTCTCCCGTTCACTAATTGCTGTATCGCCTCCTCTCCCTCTCTTTGTCGGTTTACTACATCACTTCCACTTCCTGCTACGTCTGTCACCGATCCAACCATCCCCATCACAGCGCCCCCAGGTCGTGACACGAGCGGGATTTCTGCCTCAGGAACTTGCCCACCTCCCGCTCTCTCGGGTAGCGGGGCACCAGGCTGGACAGGAAACGTTTGGCACGGGAGGTGATGCTCTCACGCTGACCTCCTCCGCTCAGGTCCTCCGCATTGGTCCCCGGGGGCCACGGGGGCTGGCCCCTGGCTAGCCGCACCGCGCACTCCAGCAGCTCCGGGGTGCGGTGATCCAGAGAGGCGGAGATCTCCAGGTACAGACAGTTGAAGAGGGCGGCGCTGGACATGGCCTCTGAGGGAAGAGACGGAGACGAGAGGGGAGAAGATGAAGTAAGATAAGTTTATATTTAGATTAACACAGTGCAGCAATGTTACAGTCTCTCTGGATCTTTGTAGTTATTTTGCTTTCTTACAAAATCACATGGTGCCCCTCCTTTACCAGCCTTACAGAGTCCAACAGTAAAACGAGTTAAACAAGCCACGAGCAGCCAGAGGTATTGTCATATATTTTGGCCTTTTTAATCCATTTTAGCAAATAAATAACAGGAACAACCACAAACGTTCAACACAACAGTCCTGCAGTAAAAAACGATTTAGTAATCGTATCTTTGGGATGTTAAATTTTGTTGAAATCAAACACAAAAAGCAGCACACAGAACAGTACATAACAACCACATTTTTTAGGATATGTTTTTCATCTTTATTGGATCGCTGATATTAGAGCATCACAGGTTCCCAGCTGTAATAAAAGCAGCTTTGTAATATGAGCTTTAACCAGACCCTGAAGAAGATAACAACAGTTTTAACTACAGAAACACCTCCACAAACTGCAGATGTCTTATTTTAGTGTCACTTAAATGAGCCTCTAGGCAGTAAACTGTAAACACTGTGAAGCATGTTAAAGTATTTTTTAATCAACTCCTTGTGATGAGCAATGGAGTCCAACATGAACATACTGTTATCTGCCACAGATAAAACACAGATTTCTGCATTTCAGTTTCTCCCCTTGCTTTTCCTGCTTGAAGTGGGTGGGGCTCTGTTGGAAAAAAGTTGATGTCACATATTGGCAGGCACTAATCAGGATTCAGTAATATTGGAATCTGAATGTCAGGACTGTTGCGGTTGTAGTCTTTCCCCCCTGTTCTGTACTCCCACTTCCTTTTTTCTTTAAATATCCTGAATGTTACTCAACACAGAAACACAGGTCAGAGCACATGGTATTATTTTTTATAATAATTTAAACCACCACTTTTAATTATTTATAATATTAACGTCGAACCCTAACCCACCCACAGGTTTCTGAAGAGCGGTTTTGAAGCTCAGAGTGAGCTGCTCCGCTGTCGCCATCTTGGCAGTGTCTGACTCCGCCCGCTAACTCCCAGCTAATCCAAAAATGGGCAAAAAGGACTTCAGTGCATACGCTCGCCCACCCGTCACTCAAAGTGGCCACGCCCTCAATTCGCCATAACGTTAAGCCTTGATAAAATGTAAACAGGTGAGTTGAATAAAAATCAGCTCTAGAGACCAAAACAGTTTTTGTACCAGGCTGTAAACATGTTTATTTCTGCTGTAAAGTTGGACATTTTAACATGGGAGTCAATGGGGACTGACTCACTGTTGGAGCCAGACTCTAGTGGTCGTTAGAGGAACTGCAGCTTTTAGCACTTCAGTGTTAGCTTCATGTTTCAGCCTCAGAGGTTGCAGCTTGTTCAATACCTATGACCATCACTTGCTGTTGCTATGGAGAAGAAGCCGCTCAGCTCTGTAGCAAATTCAAAGTGTTTTGTCGTTGAATTTGAGAAGAAATAGTTCCAGATCCAGAAATCAAAAGTGAATTCATATAGGCTCCATATTATGTTCTCAGCTCTCAATTTTACACAAGATGATTGGATCTTTCTTGCCAAAATGCACCTTGGGAGTCGTAGTTGTTAACTTCTCCCCCTTTTTATGTCCACATACTTGTACCTTAAATTTTTTATCAGCTGAAAAACTATACTTTTAATAAAGAAAGGATGAAATTTTAACGTTAACTATTGCTTATTCAGTCATGAATATTTGATGTTGTAGAGAAAGTTTTCAGGGGCTTTCAGTTGGGTTGTACGACATATAAAGGCTCTAATAGAAGTTGCCCACCTGTGTGTTGGAAAACAGTGAATGCTTTCTGGTGGCTGACACTGACATTCACATTTTCACATATGTCACCCCACGTTAGTGTTTTCTGACACAGATAAAGGGCAGAAAATGTCAACACCAACTGTGAAGACGTATGCCACAGCTGAAGGAAGCAGTAAACACAGGTGGGGGGGGGGTGGAGGATGGTCTTACCTTGAGAGGAGACCTCACGTGTGCGAACGAGGTCACTCTTATTACCAACGAGGATGATGGGAGTTTGGGGCTGAGTCTCTCTCAGGAGGAGTCGGAGTTGAGCAGTGCGGTGGAAACTACGCCTGTCAGTCACCGAAAACACCAGGACACACACCTCACACTGCAGAGCCGACAGGTCCTGAGGGACAGACGCGCTGTGTGTTAGTAATGAGCTGCTGTTTAAATACACTATAAAGGAAAGTGAAAGCTAGTCAGTCACGGTACGATGATGATTGTGCTGAAGAAAACAAATGACTAAAATTGAGTTCGCATTCACTGAAACCTTCATTTTAAATTAACTTATAAACACTCCTGGCAGTAAACACACTCTCATGTCTGACACTGAGCACAAACACTTCACTTCCCTCTCATCAATTCTGTCGTCGGAGCCGCATTTGCAGAATAAGTGCAGCCTTGAGAAGCAGCACACAATTGAATGCTCTATCTAAACTCCCCTGTGGTTTAGTGAAAAACTGCTACTGTGGATAGCACTGACTGCAATACACCTCACACTCCTAGGGACACACACACACACACACACACACACTCATCCTCTCCAGCAGCGAGGAGACAAGAATCTCTAAAAATAAAAAGTCCCTGAGTGAATCCTTCATAGAAAACTCATCCTGTCTTCAGCTGAAGCTGCTGCGCTCCATTGACTTTTCATTTAGTTTTGATTAAGTCTAGAATTGAGGACACACTAAAGACAACTTTTACACTCTAATGATGCAATTATATAAGAGAGTTCCTTATGAGGCAACGTTACACCGTCCCTCACCACAGATATAACTCATTATACAAAGAGTAACACATGAAAATGCCCACATTAAATAATAGGTGTTTATTTACTATTTTAGTCCACCTGAATCAAAGACATTAATGCAGTCATTTGGGCAGCTTCCTCTCTCGCTCGCTCTCTCTCTCTCTCTCTCTCACACACATCCACACACAGAAGCCTCTGAGCTGCACTCAAGGGAAACGAGGGAAAAACTGTGCACAACAACCCGATAATGAGCTTTCCTCATTCAACCTCATGCAGATGCAGCAGATTTATTGTCTTCTCTTTGCCTCAGTCTTCCTCTGAGCTTGGCATACATTTTTTTTATAGTGCTGTCAAATAAACAATGAAATGTTCTCCAGATGTACAGTATGAACCCCTGTATAATGTGCTGCATATGCAATAAGCGCTGCAGTTCCTTGTTATTCCTTCCTTTCTTATTCTGTATGCTAACTTTATTAGCAACCTTTCCCAGGTGTACCGCATCATCAGTGCAGGGCATGCTGGGATATGCTCATATTCCTAATTATGTATGAATGGATGAAGATTTCTCTTCACACTCAGCTTTAAATCCTGGTACTATTTCCCAAACTTATTTGCTAATAAAAAGCATCATCCTGTGCAGCACACACAGTGCTTCAAATAAAGAAAATCAAACAAAGCCTATACCTTTACCTTGAGTTTCTTACAACAGGTGGAGGCTTTGGCAACCTTCAGGCCCTCTGACAGGAGCATATATATAAATATATATTTCACAGCAACACCCTGTATACAGCTGCAGAGAGGGCTCAGTGGCCTAATGAGGGACCAGGGAGCAGGGAGTGTGGGAACTCTGAAGTGTTGTTTGGCTCACCTGTCTCCAGTTGTCATAGATAATGATGGTGCTCTCCTCATCATCCACTGTGACTGTGCGCACATAACCCTCCCCTAAGGACAGGGACAGCAGCAGTTAGATCTCAGATGGGGGATGAGTGCTGTGATTTATTTACCTCCTGCTCACTGTGTAAGACACGACACTGCAGACCGCCTTTCCACTGCAATACTGGATTAGTCTTGTCAAACAAACAGCTTTGTACCATCAGAATCCACAGACGCAGTCCTGTCCATGTCCCCGGCGAGAGCGATGGCCAGGGAAGACTTCCCCACGCCGTTCTGCCCCAGCAGGGCGATCCTTAAAGGCCCGTCAGGTCTGCCCTCCACCGCCATGGTCAGAGTGTCATCCAGGGCGGGGCTGAAGCTGATCGGTGAGGCAGAAGGCCCGGCTGCCCCTGATGTCCAGTCACAGTCATCGTGGACAGCTTCTTCTCGTCTGAGCTGGTGCTTAATTGGCAGAGGAGTGCTTCCTCTGCGAAGAGTCGGGGTGCTGGACAGAGTCATACTGTCACACTGCAGGAGAGATTGCGAGACACTTTGTTACGTAACATTTAGGAAAGACAGAACACAAAATAGATTGTTGTTGTGCTTCCATTGAACAGGGTGATTTGCAAGAGACTGAATGGTCAAAATCTGTGCAGCAGCAGCTTGACTCATACATTTACTCCCTTGTATGAGTCAAGCTTCCAAAACACTGGCTCATACAATTCCCACAATACAACTCATCTGCATCTGTCATCAAACCTTCCTGCCTTTAATGCCTAAATTTACCAGTTATCTGTCAGATATTTGATGGATCAAACAACAGCATTTAGAGCTTCTGCACATCATTATACTATGTAATATAATACAGTTTAATATAATATAATATAATAAATCATTGATATAACTTTTATAATGGGTAAATTAATTTTATATGTAAAATCATTGCAATGCTCCATTAACCTGTAATAACTGATTGGGGACAGAAACAAGCTGTAAAAATTACATATGGCGAGAACCTTGTTTTCACCTCCAGTCAGTGTTGAAGTGGGCCGGCACACAACGGTACGCAGAACCTTTACATTACTCTTTAATGAACTGTTACTTTTTCTTGCATACTTGCATCTCTCAGACTCTTCTGCCCTCTTCATTTCAGGATCTGGGCGATTTGTTTTTGTAAAAAAAAACGGGTCGGGAGATCTGACAGTGAATACAACAAGCGTGTGTCGCAGTGCCCCGCCCACAGCCCCATCTGATTGGTTAGACGTCACTAGTAATATCCTGTCACGCTGAAGGCTGCTGTGTAAGCAGAGGGACACTGCAGACCAGTTCCGGTTAACGAGCGAAGATATGTGTCGAAGGTAAGAGAGCAGACATCAAGAAGTTTTAATAAACATTACAATCCTCTAAAGTGAAGTTACAACAACACCACACTCTGATGAACAAGTCCATCTGTAGGTTCAAGACATACCGAGCGAGAGAGAAAGCGCTAGCTGCAAAGCTAAAGTGACTAGAATCTGAACAGCATGTAAACAACTGCTTAATTAGTGAAAGTCACTAAAAGGAACAGAGAGCTCTGGATGCTGGGGCAGAACTAGTGTAAGTTTAAATGTACAGCAGGTAGTTAGACACTGTGATGAAGAAAACAGCAACATTAACTGTGTTCAGACAGAGCAGCAAAAAACTCTACCGGTAACAGAAACTGGAGATAAAGACACCACACTGACGTCAACACGTCAGCACATCAACGGTCACTAACTACCATGACGGAAAAGACCTTTTACTGCAGTAGAAGTAAAATCACTGTGTAAAAATGTTCTCAGATAAAATTACAAAGTGAGTCAGTTAAAATGTCTCTGTTACATTTTTAAAAGGGGGAAGGGTAAAATATCTTATTTGGTGATAATAATAATAATAATAATAATATGTGATAAAACTATTGAATGAAAGAACATCTTTAGGCTGCCACGTGAATCAGTTCACAGATGAGGACAGCACCAAAATCAACCAATTAATTCCAGTCAGGCACTTTGATATATACACAGTTGGCAATTTGTTAGGAACATGTAGCTAAAACTGATGTAGTCTAATACAACAGTCCTGCAGTAAATCATCCTTCATGAATTATAATAATATATATAATATATGTAATATTCAGTTTGTAATAAAATTGTTTCAGACAGTTGCTGATTCAGCTGATCCTTTTAGAGGGTAGTGTTTTGAGCTGTTGAGCTGTATTAAATAATAAAGAGGTGTTTCTGTTATTTAGCCTACCTTCATTGATATAAAGGGGGTGGACAAAATAATAGAAACCCCCACGTCATAGGGTGAGTAGCGGCACTTTTTTTCCCACTTCAAGCACTGACTTCAGTAGATATGGAGCAACATTAGCATTTATTTGAGTCATGTTTTCTACCGCCTGACAAATCTAAGTCCAATACCCCCTGTCTTTTATCACTGTTTTTGGTCTCCACCAGCTCCTGAGGGAAATACCTGCCTCTTTACCTGCTGACTTTGTATGTCTGCTGTTTGGTGATTGATTGGGGGGGTCTGACCCTCCACGATTAAGACTCAGACCCCCTCAAAAGAGGTAAAAACAACAGTTTTTTTTACCTACAGACACTGTAGGTAAATGTAGGTAGCAGTAGCTAACTATCTAGCTTGTTTAATACACTTCACTTTCTTACCATCAGTCTCTGAATTAGATTGTGACAAGTCTTTTAGGATGAATGCTAATGTTATCTAGTTTCTAACTTTAGCCTGAAGTTACAGTTAAGCTAATAAATGTTAGCTAGTTTCTAACCTACAACTAATGTTTCCTAGTTTCTAACTTTAGCTTGAAGTTACAGTTTTAGCTAATAAATGTTAGCTAGTTTCTAACCTACAACTAATGTTTCCTAGTTTCTAACTTTAGCCTGAAGTTACAGTTTTAGCTAATTAATGTTAGCTAGTTTCTAACCTACAACTAATGTTTCCTAGTTTCTAACTTTAGCCTGAAGTTACAGTTTTAGCTAATTAATGTTAGCTAGTTTCTAACCTATAACTAATGTTAGCTACTTTCTAACTTTAGCCTGAAGTTACAGTTTTAGCTAATTAATGTTAGCTAGTTTCTAACCTATAACTAATGTTAGCTACTCTCTAACTTTAGCCTGAAGTTAATTAGTTATCGGACAGCACACCCTCTCATTTCCAGAGTTAGTTTGTCATTTTAATCATTTAAAATGTCACATATGATCTAATGTTAGCAAACACTGGTGCTCAGTCATGAGCAGTGAGACAATGGAGGATGAGTTGTTTTAAAGAAACGTTTTGAAATCAATATAGTTCATTATTTAATTTTAGTTAGTCATTTACCTTTAACATTCATTTTTATAATAGACACCCTGTTTTTTCACTCAGGATTCCAGGAGTTTTACCTGTTGGCTCATTGAACAATATTAATATACATGTGTACCCAACACCTCAGTTCACAGAAGCACGTGTCTGCGCTGTTCTGGGTTCCCTTTCCTCCTGGAGAAATATTTCACCTCCTGATCATCATTGTATAACTCGCACTCTGGGTGACAGTGAACCAAAACAGTAAAATTGTGGGTTGGAAAACCAAAACAATGAGCTGAAAGGTGTTAAAAAGCCTCACGTGACCACAGGTGATCTTTCATTTTACACATAAATCACATTAAATGCTGCACAAGACGCACGATAATCCCCCAGCTATTAAGATTTAGTGCTTCACAATAAAAACTGGTCTGCGAGTATTTTGTAATGCAGGACTCCCCTCCCTGCACCACTACCCACACACACACACACACACACACACACACTCTCTCTCTCTCTCTCTCTCTCTCTCTCTCTCTCTCTCTCTCTCAGAGGAAAACTGGTTTACTGTCAGTTCAATACACATCTCCGTTAAACTTGCAATTTGAGTATCAAACATGATCACACTCCACCAATTCGACCTAAAACCCGATTGGCTGATTGAATAATGGATTATTGGAGCTGTTTGCCCGGACCTCCGTGCAGCCCCGTGCAGCCTACCGTGGTCGCCTTCTCCTCGTTGTTGAGCCTGTCTTCGGGCACATCTGTCGGCATCTGCAAAATTGAAATTAACGATGGGTTAAAGACTCCAAAAAAACACACAAAACACCCCTCCCCAAACACCCCCTCACCCCCTCACCCCCCACTCACTTTATGAACCCCAGCCCAAAGCAGCTCGGTATGATCTCTCACCTGTCACGCGGCTCTCGGTAACTACAAAGTAAGCACCCTTTCTCTCCCTTTCTCTCTCTCTCTCTCTCTCTCTCTCTCTCTCTCTTCCCTCCCTCGCACGTTTTCTACCTCTCTCTCTCTCTCCCTCGAGTTGTCTCTCTCTCTACCTCCCCTCTCTCTCCCTCCCCTCTCCGTCTCCTCAGGTTAGGGCCCGGGTCCAGGTCTGCAGTCGGCACCGTCATTCATCACCGCTGCTGCCACTCTCTGGACCGGACGTGTGCACGCGCTCCAGATCCGGATTCTGTGCAGAGGAGGAGGAGAGACGACACCGGTCAGTGTGTGCGGCAGGTGCGTGCAGCTCCGGGGCGGTGATGCAGGCTGGAGGCGGGAGAGCAGCGCTGTGGAAAAGATGCTCAGTGACACGAAGCTCACGTTGACCTCTGGAAGTTATGGGAAGCGGCCGCTAGGAGTCAGTATAACACAAGCCTCCAAACTAGTTGTTTTTGTGTGTGTGTGTGTGTGTGTGTGTGTGTGTGTGTGTGTGTGTGTGTGTGTGTGTGTGTCCTTGGGGGGGGTGTATGTTTAAAATGTGTCATTTGGGTTTTCCTGTAGAAACCCAGCACCCTGCCCACCAGGTGAGTCAGTCTCTGTCCTCTCGTCTCCTGTGTCCTGTCAAAGACACACATGTCCTTCTCCTGGACGCACTCATTTCCATTTTGTTAAATTAAGTCATTTCTATAGTCCCCTGATCCAAGGAGTGTGTTTGGACATGTTTTCTGTCAGAATGTGAGTGTGGCCATGAGCAGTGGTGCGTCCCTCCCACACAAAGCCACAATAGGCTCCGGCAGTGAGCAGCCAGGGCGCTATTATAGCCCTAATCCTGCTCCTATTATACAGGCCAGAGAGAGAGCGAGAGACACAGAGAGAGAGGTAGAGCTGAAGATGAGGTCATCCCAAACAGTGCAGCAGCCAGGGTCACTGCCTCACTATAGAGGGACAGAGATAAAGAGAGGGATGGAGCAGGGGATGGGGGCTGCAGAGAAAAGGCCTGCAGAAGACTAAGAGTGGGAGATGCTCACATAGGTGAATGGAGAGGAGATGAGGTTCAAACCTGCGCACAAAACACACCACAGCAAGCCAGGTTTGGTAAAGTACTTTGTTTATTTCATATGCATATGAAACCACACTACAACAGGAGCAGGAAACCATGATAATGGCCATCATTTTTGTAATAATGTTAATTCTAATCACAGTTGGATAAAATAATAAACTGTAGGAAAGTAAAAATACACGCTAATGAAATAAAACCAGTAAAATAATTAGAATCAGTACATAAATAAACAATAAATACTGAATAAATAAGTGAATAAATAAAAGAACAATTTATTTAACCTACACCCAAACAAAATAAATAGCTCTAATGCATGAACCCTGGCAATGATTTCATGGGACAGTTAAGAAGGTGTCTCCATGAAGAGATATTTTTGCATTTTTTTATTTATTTATTTATTCTTTTTTTTTTTTTTTTTAAATCCCTGCACCGTTAATTTTCTGTTGCATCCGGAGTAGCCCACAGCACCGGAGTCCACAGTGACCAGCTCTGTGGTGCCACATGTTGCAGTAATGTGATGGTCCCTGTTACAGAGGTGTTCAATCTGCCCCAAAATAGATTCTCTCGTCTGGAGAACTGGACACAACCACACAAATCATGCCACACTGTTTTTTGTTTTTGTTTTTTGTCGCTCCGCTGCGATGGGTTGTATTTGCCTCTTTCACCATATGTGAGTCGCTTTGTTAAGCACACACCACCAGCTCCACTTCTTTGTGTGTAAAAACCCATGTTTGAGAGCAAGCAGCAGGTCCTCTCTGTCGCTGTGAACGGCTGAAAGTCAGTTGCCATTTTCAACTAGATTTCTCTGCTAAAACACAAGAGCAATATACCCCACTATTCATTTAGCACAATCACCGGAAGATTCCCACGAAAGGTTTCCTTGTACATTCTTAAATCTATGATTATTCATCTTACAAAGAATAATAACAAGTCTTGGTGAGCTTAAACACTTTGGTAGGCAACTGTGAAAAATTAGCTGGCAAATACTTAACTGCATGCCGTGGATACTTTATCCAAGCCCATACCACTCCACATCCAGCACCACTGCACTACTCAGACCTCTGCAGCTTTAGCAGCTTATTATAGAAAACAAAACTACGATTTGAGCCTCAAACACTCACTGGGAGAGAACATTGCAGCTATTTAATATTGCATAGATAATATACTCAGCAGTATGGAGGACCAGGGATGTCACAGGAAAAGTAATAAAGCATATCTTTAATTTTATATTTGAATAGGCATTAACAATAGGGATTGTAATTTAACGATTAATCCACCAATAAATGCTCAAGATTTAAAAATGGATTTAGAGCATAAAACACTCATAAAATAAACCATTTATAAATACATTTATTAATTTATGAATAAACAATAGAATTTGACAAAGTATTTGAAAAGACATTTAGAAATGGAAAACACTCCTGGATTCCCTCTTCTTGTTCCGTTTCCTTTTTCCAGCTGCTTTTCCTGTTAGTTAATCGATTAGCTTAGCCCTTTAGCTTCTCCTGCTAGCCTTCAGTGCTGGTAAAACCAGACTGGTTACCTCTAACCAGAGAGCTTGTTACAGCTCATGGCCAATTGGGATTGGACCAGGAAAGGCTAAATGACTAAGCTAATCGAGTAGCTAATAGGAAAAGGAAAAGCAGCTGGAAAAAGGAAATGGAACTCAAAGAGTGAATCCAGGAATGTGTTCCCATTTTTAAAATGCCTTTTCAAATAGTTCTTTAAATACATGGATTAATTAATGCACTTATAAATGGTTAAATGAGTTTTAAGTGTTTTTTGTAAATACGTTGTTATATCTGAAATATTCATTGATGGATGAATGAAATGAAGGAAATGCTTCATTACTTTTCCTGTGACGTCCCTGCTCCTCCGTACAGCAGCGTCAGGGACTATTGATATGTTTTTAAAGCTTTTTTGATTCCACTGTCACAGCCGAGTGTGTGTCCACTGTCGCACTGATTTCACAGGCAGGAGGTCCCAAAGAGCTCTCAGCCAGTTTTTGTGCAACTGTCGTTCACAGTGAAGTAAAGTCCAAGAAGCAGCAGCAGCCTAGAGCCGAGTCTAACGCTAAGAATTAACAGTCAATTCCCCTTTTATCAGTCAAGGGTGGATTTCACAGTTGTACAGCCCCAATACTGCCAATGTCTCTCTTTCACTTTCCCTCTTGCACACACACACAAACACACACACATGCGCACACACACACGCATACACACACACACACACACACACACACACACACAAACAAACACACACACACACACACACACACACACACACATACACGTCCTTCTTTGCTTCCCCAAGTCTGATTATTCATCACTGATTGCTCCATGTTGGCTGGGCTTGTTTTTTGTTTTATCCCCCCTCCCCCTCTCTTAATGGGTAAAACTCAGAGGAAGTAGTCAGGGGGCGGGGAAGGTGGGTTGCTGGTGCGGGTCGGTGGGGCGTCGGCGCCGGTGCCGTGGTTCGTGCTGAGGAGCTTCTCGTAGCGAGCCTTGTAGGCGTCTCTCTCCCTCAGCACTCGAGTCAGCTCACACTGTAGCTGTTCCAACTGAGGGGAAGTTCAGAGAGAGAGAATCATTTCAAAGACGCTGATTTAAAGCTCCACATTTTCTTCTTCTGTGTTTTATTTGAAGTGTTGATCCATAAGAACATATATTAAAAAACATCTCAGTGTAGTTTCACATCTCCTCTCTCAGGCTTCTCTCTGCAGCTCTAGTAACAACAGGTCTGTGAGCCAATCAGAAGAGAGGAGGCTCTGAGCCTCTCTTCTGATTGGCTGACTGTTTTCTGACTGATCCAATAAAAATATAGCAGATTTCAGGTAAAAACACTCAGAGAAACCAAATCCTGTAAAGGTTTGGATGGTGGGTCCAGGTGGGCGGGGCTTGGTGACTGCTTTGTTGTGACATCACAAAGTTCCAGAAGTCCTGACGGCTGGTTTTAAGGCTCAGTTTCTGAATACAGGCTGTGTGCATTTCTCTGTGGACTGAGGCTTTGATACTTTCACAGTATTAATATAGAAGCTAGAGCTGATCTATAATCACACTACACATGGACACAGACCTTTACACTGGAGGAGCTTTAATTTCAGGGCTTATTGTATCTGTGGAATGTAAGTTTAGGGGATTTAGGGCTGTCAGAGTGTCACTGGATTTTTCCTGCCTGTCATTTTCTCCTTTAGAAGCTTTTTAGTGTCAGAAATTCCAAATTTAAGGTTGAAATTAGATTTAGGATTAAGTTTGGGGTCAGATGAGTTCAGGATGAGCATGTACTGAGACAGCGTGTGTGTGTGTGTGTGTGTGTGTGTGTGTGTGTGTGTGTGTGTGTGTGTGTGTGTGTGTGTGTGTGTGTACCTGTTGTGTGAGCACATGTTTCTCTGACTCCAGAGCGTGGCGGTGCTGTAAGCGCTTGTAGCGGCAGGACTGCGCGTAGCCGCGGTTCTTTAGCGTGCGGCGTTTCTGCTTCAGGCGCACCACCTCGTCCTTACTCACGCCGCGCAGGTGTCGGTTGAGCTCGCGCACCGACAGGCTCACCAGCTGCTCGTCAGAGAAGCGCTCGTTCACCCCGCACTGCTGAACAGATGGAGGAAACACACACAAGAGAAACATGCTGCTCCTCAATGTTAATTGGCAACGAGACACATGCTGGCGCGTGCACAGTGAGAGGAGTGTGAAGTGGATTCATCCAAGAGTCAGATTTAAAATATATCACCACATTATGACTGGTGAACATGTGGTGTGCGTGCGTGCGTGTGTGTGTGTGTGCGTGCGTGTGTCAGGGGGCACATTTCGGCACCACATGTTCATAATCTGTCATGTAATCTGACTAAGTGTGGGTGACAGTTATCAGGATTACGCACAGCAATAATAGCAGATATTATCATAAGCTCACAGTGTGCTCCATATAGAGATCCGCCCAGACATCTTGATCGACCACAACGCAGATTACAACCTTTATTTACCTGTTGAAGTTACACCCACAGGAGACCAACCGCTTTTAGCCATTTAAAGTGTCAGTTCTCGATAATTATTCATTTCATTGGTTAAAAGATGAAGAAATTTACTGTGTGAAGGTTGAAACGCTGCATTTATAACACTTAATAAATGGTTTATAACACACTATAATGTAATTGTAAGCAGATATTGTTGATTCATGTATCTGTCTCAAGTGAAAATATAGTTGTAATAATATAAACTATGTCTTCATAGGAGAAGGTGATAAATGCTGCATTGAAATGTCTTTATATCTGCGTACACCTGCACTACAGTGTGTTATAACGCATGTATGAAGTGTTTATATGCTGCTGATAAACACCAAATACTGAGAAATATGTTTTTTTTCTGGTGGGAAATGAAGACTTTGTGTCCTGAAAGACAAAGACTTCACTCCTCTTGTTGTTGGCGTGTAGAGAGCAGTGATACTTCAGATAGACACAGACATTAATAACCATGTTCTAATGTCCTAATCCTAATCCTTCACTGTACGATCCCTCTCTCCTTACGCTCAGCCCTCTAATACAAGGGCCTCTGTTTTCTCACGTTGCTTCTTTCACCTCCAACAACTTCCCGTGTTTTACTGATGATGAGAGTCGTTATCAGTAACGAGCCGCTCTCCTCTAGGCTGATTAAGTGTTTCCCCGTGTACCTGATTAACTTGAGGGTGGTGATGGTGGTGATGGTTGCCGTGCATGGGGTGGTGCGGGTGGTGCTGATGATGGTGGTGCTGGTGGTGATGAAGGCGGCCCTGGGGGCTGAGAGGCTGCGGGTAGGGGGCCGAGGCCGGGGCGGCGTTGGGGAGCGAGCCGGGGCCCGACGAGAGGAAGACGAGAGGGCGATGGCACATGTCCGCCCCCTTGGTGCAGGAGATGTCTGCACCGCTGTCGCTGCTGGAGTCTCCCAGGTTGCTGCTCGAGCTCTGAGAAAGACCTGGGAACTGTAGAGGAGGGGGGGGGGGGCACAGAGGATGATGAGGAGGCAGCAGAGGTGTGAAGAGGTCACGTGTAAAAGAGAGAGGAATCATAGATTGTTACCTGTGAGCTGACAGCTGCAGCAGCTGAGTTCAGCAACGCCTCCACAGCGTCCTCACAGCCCAGAAAGCCGTTCACCGGCCCCCTCTCTCTGTCCCCTCTCTCTGGTACTCCTCCCAAGGCCCCCAGCAGAGTGGCAGGCCCCGTCACCTCCCCTCCAAACTGTTGCTGCAGGGCTGCCAGCCAGATCAGGTCCTCCAGCGAAGCCGGGGTGGGACCCTGAGGTCCCCCGTGGGCCGGGCTGCCCTCCACGTTCCCCTGGGAGCCGGAGCTGATGCCAGAGGTAAAGCTGTTGGAGATGGAGAGGGGGAAGGAGATGGAGGAGGATGACGAAGAGAGGGAGGAAGAGCCCGAAGGAGGCGGGTGGGCGTCGCTGAGTGTCGGCGAGGGTGGCAGCGAGTTGTAAGGGCTGGAGCTCAGGCTGGAGTCCTGCGGAGGGTGGCTGGTGTACGGAGAGCTGGAGGGGTCGTGGGGGAGGCCAGATTTGGGATACGCACACGGAGGAGGGAGTGGAGGAGTGTCAGATTTCACCTCAAACTTGAGGAGGTCAAAGTCATTCAGGTACTCCATGGCCAGAGGGCTGGGGGGGAGCGAGGGCATGGGGAGGGAAGGAGAGGACAGTGTGTCGGCTGCTGCTGCTGCTGCTGCTGCTGCTGCTGGAGCTTCAACAGGGTTTTTCCGTGTGTCAGGATCGCTGGAAGGTCCACTCCTCCGCCTCGGTGCAGCTCATAGACAGCAGCAGCGGTGAGGTCAGGAAGTCGACTGGCTGGTGAGTGTCCTCTGTGACAAACTGTTCGTCCCCGTGTCCTTGTCTTTGTCTCTCTTGTCCTGAGGGAAAGGAGGAGAGTTGCATGTTTGTCAGGTGTAAATCTGAACAGGCTTCTCTAATTAGGCACCTTTTATAAATGGTTTCTGAGCTGTTACTAATAGTTTCATTAATTATTAATAGTAGTATTAATAATAGAGTTTTCCAACAATTAATCCACCAAAGTGTTTAAATCAATGCTGCAAAACTGGAGATATCGGCTTTTTTATTCTACACTTTCTTCTCTCTTGTCAAAACTTACCTACATTACCCACAATGCAACTCGACTACCATGACTTCAACCACAGATTTGGGTGTGTTATGCTAGTAGCAGCTAATGTAGCCTCAAACAGAGAGGAGGAGTGGGCTGCAGAGGTCTGGTAAACACTTGTAGTGACATCACTGCAGGACATTCATCAGATTTACCTCAGGCAGTATTTATTACCCAGAACCTGTAACCAGACGTCCTTCCTCCTTCAGCACTATAGGCTTCCACTATAGGCTAATCATTTATTGACCAGTTATCAGCCGTTAATGAGAGGAACTTCTCGGGTTGCCAGGTTGTGGAAAATCCTCCTCCAGCATGACATTTACTTCCATTTTCAACCAACAAAATCCATTTATAAACAACTTATTGACACTAACTTATTGTGTTAATCAATTGAGTCCATTTAATGATGCGTCCTGAGGAATTAAAGAGATCGTTAAAAGTACAAAGTAAGTTCCAGGTTCTCCAAAATTTGTTCTCATTAATGGCCTCTAACTGATCTGTGGAGCATTAGTAAATTATTAATTAACCACCATTAAAACCATGAAATACATCTTATAAACCCTTCATAACGTCCCATTAGAAAGTTGTTAAACATCATTTATGCTGAAAATAACTGGTAATGTAATTGTATGAATTATGATACAAATCAAAGGAAGCATGTGGCTGTAAATGCTTTGACAGAAAGGTCAGAGTCAGACTGTGAGTCTGAGTGGCAGGTATGGTTGCGTTATATTAAGACATTAATCTGCAGCACCCCCCCCCCCCCCCCCATCTTATACACACATGTATAGGACTATAACCGCATGCACGTTCACACACACGTGCACGTTTATACTTTATTATTCGTTTACTCGACGTGCACAGACAGACAGGGACGTCTCCGCTCCGACAAACTTTTACACTGCGCTTGAAACTTTATCGTTTGCGCCACGTACATGTTCAACACGTGCACACTCACACATTTTATACTGTAAAAGTGACAAATTAAGATCCTCACTTTGCCGAAAACTCCAGAAATCATCTTGTGACTCAGAGAGAAATAAAACAGTCTCATGGTTTATTTGTTTAAAACACGGTCTCATCTTCTGCCAAGTGTTTCATTCGTCTTTATGTGGAAATTATTCCAGTGATCACACACACAATGGATATAACGTAATATTTCTAGAAGGATCTGCCTGCTGAACACAGAACCAACCGAAGCGCAAGAATTCAAAAGGGCTTAATCATTTTTGACAGAAAGATCCACAAGTCTCAGAGAGCAAATCCAATTATCGGCAGGTTCAGACTTTAATCCACTGACTTTCCAAAACGAATCGAAAAACACATTTTCATACAGACAGAGGGCTGAAGAAAGACTCATCGTTATCTGAGGCTGAATGTTAAACTTTTTGGATCTTGTCTGCTCAGATTCAACAGCAGAAGCTTTTGTTTGGTCCAGAAACACAGTAAAAGTGATGTGACAGTAGTTTACAGGTCAGAGAAACCATTCAAACAAACCTCCAAGTTACCTCCTCAAAATATCAAGAGAAAGTTCAATATTGTTCAACATGCTCCATCAGTGAAAGCTGTAGAAGAGCAAAGCTCTTTCCTCCAACATCACTAATTAAGGACTAAGGACTTCAGATGATAGTGATTATTATCAAAATGAACATGTAATTAAAAAATCCACCTTTGACTGTAGCGCCTCTGGGGCACAGCTCATTAGTTTTGCCCCCTGTGGTTCAAAATGGATTGTAAAAGAAAGCAAACAGTGACAGGGCTCCATGGAGGCCTCAGTCTGGCTCCAGACCAAAGTCACGGCAAAAAAGCCAGCCCCAAAAAAACACAGCCGCAACACACACACACACACACTTAAACACACACACACACACACACAAGAGAGAAATAAGTAGATGAAGGCCTGACAGTCGAAGAGAATGAAATGATCTTACCGTCGCTCATAGAGATGAAGGATGAGTACGAGCTCTGTTCAACATCCCGCACCAAACACACACACGCACACAAAAATAATCGACTGACTGGTTTGACTGACACGTTTGGAGAGAGACACAGAGGAAATGCTGAGCGTGTGTGTGTGTGTGTGTGAGTGTGTCAGAGTGTGTGTGTGTGTGTGAGTGTGTGTGTGTGTGCGCATGGGAGTGTGTATAGCACTCTGTCACTGAGTGCCACTGCCCCCTTTCTTTCTTTCCCCTCTGCTGCAAATCCCTGTTTGCAACAATCCCCTCCTCTCTCTCTCTCTCTCTCTCTCTCTCTCTCTCTCTCTCCCATATCCCTCTCTCATGGTTCACAGGCATGTTCACACTCTCTGGCAATGTCTCTCTCTCTCTCTCTCTCTCTCTCTCTCTGTCTCTGTCTTTATGTCTGTCTCTTTATTTCATTTTCAAGTTTCGTGTTTTATTCCTCTGTATCCGTCTTTCTCTCTCTCACACACACACACACACACACAGACACACACACACACTCTCTCTCTGCCACATTCATCAGGTGTTTCTTTTTACGCCATTTTTACTCAGTCCTCAACAGTTGTCTGTGTGTGTGTGTGTGTGTGTGTGTGTGTGTGTGTGTGTGTGTGTGTGTGTGTGTGTGTGTGTGTGTGTGTGTTGAGACTCAGTTTGTGTCAATTAAAATAATGTTTCCTCCCTCACCACTGAGTTAAACGGCGTCTTGACAGTTGTGTTGGCACCGTTGGGGCTGTAGACTCTGCACTGCCTCACAGTGGACACTCACAGCTACTGAACTGAGCCTGTTAATTAACGAGGAGGGAAGCGCCTCAATTATAACCTGCTGGTACCTGGTGAAGTTATGAACGGTCAGAGGGAAACTGATTATTTCATCTAATACACACGTTGACCTCTTTAACCCCGTAGATCCTGTCGACGTGGTCAACTAGAGAAAAAAACCCAGAGCTGCGTTGTTTAGGTGAAACAGGTGCAGAGATGTTCAATTATCATTTCAAATCAAATGTTCATTTAATTTGGAAAGACATTTAAGAAAGATTATGGGCCATGAACCTGTGACTTCAGGATATAATCTGTTACTTTTAAAGTGTCTAAAAACAACTAGATCTCTGTTCTATATGAGGTTGAGTTGTGTTCTTACATCATCACAAATGTTTCCATCAATTCTCAAACCAGAGAAATCTGTGATTTTAATCATGTCAACAGTCAATGACACGCTAATCAACATTAATGCTAAAAATGAGCCGGTATTTCTCGGGTTAAATGCAATAACACATACTGTACCTACATGGTGTCACCGTACCTGAGCTGAGTTCTCTGGGATGTGGTTCTAATAGCATTAAACACTCGTTGTTTAAGATGAATAAATTGAAACAGAAACATAAAAAAGCCTCAATATAAACCGTGTTCTCAGTAACTTGGTGTTTTGTTTGCACTGAAACTTTATACATTAGCAAAACGTCAGGGTGCTACAGCCTTAAAGATTTCCAGCCTTTGTTTGTGCTCTGACAAGTGACGCCCCCTGTGTCTCCACACTGTGTCTCCACACTGCCCCGTCTCTCTGTTAGACTCAAAATCTGTGAATTCATTCTGGGGTTTTTTTTTTTTGCCTTGTTTTGTTTTTTTTTAATCCACCGAGCAGAGAAATGCATAACAAGCGTTTCTCAATGCTCCTTAAAAGCTTGAAGTTGTTAATCCGGAGTCTCTGTGTGTCTTAATGGTGTCTCGTTGAGGAATCAGTGAGTTAATAGTCCCTTCACAAATCTGATTTGGACAGTAAACAAAACCTTTAAGGCAAGCAGACGTGCTGACTCATGGAAACAGCACAAGGCTCCCAAACAGGAGTTTTACTTCTTTTTACTTCACAGCTCTTTGTTGAGCTGGGCACAAACTGAGGGATAAAACATGACAGCTGTTCTACACATAATGCTCCAAATATTTTTTTAAATGTGTATAATGTGTATACAACTCTCTTCTTTCAGTTTCTCTTCCTCTCTTTCTCTACTTTAACCTCTCTATCTGCCCATCATTTGTGTTTCCGGGGGAAAGCTTAGCAGCTAAACCAACAGGGCCTCTCCCATGAGGGTGAGAGACAAAGAGAGGGAAAGACACAGAGGAACTTACCTCATACTTCATGACAAACACACACACGTCTGCAGCCGTACACATGCGTGTGTCCTGCAGCCGCCTCGCATTCAGGTGTTCAGGACGTGTTCGATATACACAGCTGAGACTGTTCACTGTTCTCCTGCAGCCTCATTTCCAGAGGTATACTTAAGTAATTAGCCCTTAATGAGGATCCAACGCTGTGATTAGCATAATGAGTAGAGGTAGTAGTGAGTAGATGCTGTAGGGGTTGTATTCTGAGTGCATGTTTAATTTTACAGCCGTTTTCAGTTTTTCAACATTTTAAATAAATGAGATTATAACGAGTTATTTAGCAAACAGTTATATCTTAGTATAAAGACACTGACAGATGTTTTAGGGCCTTTGCGCAGCTGCACTTCAAAGGAACTAAATATATATATAATATATATTTTTGTATGGATTAAAGAAACAAGATTTAGCTTTACAGGTGCTGTTGTTTTTAATTTGTTTTTATTATATGCTGTTACTCGCAAATATTTTTTTATCCCGTTATCTCGAAAACAAAACTCAGTCAACCGTTATCTCGAGATAATGAGATAATTAT